AGAGTGCTGTGTGTGTGTGAAAGTGCTGTGTGTGATGGGTGTGAGAGTGCCGTGTGTGAGTGATGGGTGTGAGAGTGCTGTGTGAGATGGGTGTGAGAGAGTGCTCTGTGAGAGTGCTGTGAGAGAGTGCTGTGTGTGTGTGAAAGTGCTGTGTGTGATGGGTGTGAGAGTGCTGTGTGTGTGTGAGTGCTCTGTGAGAGTGCGCTGTGTGTGATGGTGTGAGAGTGCTGGGTGTGAGAGTGCTGTGTGTGACGGGTAAGAGAGTGCTGGGTGTGAGTGCTGTGTGTGAGAGTGCTGTGTGTGATGGGTGTGAGAGTACTGTGTGAGAGAGTGCTGTGTGTGAGAGTGCTGTGTGTAATGTGTGTGAGAGTGCTGTGTGTGATGGGTGAGAGTGCTGTGTGTGTGTGTGATGGGTGTGAGAGTGCTGTGTGAGAGAGTGCTGTGTGTGATGGGTGTGAGAGTGCTGTATAAATGTTATTGTGTGTGTGTGTAGGGGGGGTAAATAAAAAAAATAAAAAAGTCATTATTTCCCCCCCTCCCTTCTTACCTTTAGCCTGGGAGGGGGGGTCCGGCACGCTGGCAGGCAGGGTGGCGGTGTTCCCTGGTGGTCCTCGTGGGTGAGTGAACTCTAGCCTGTGAGGCTAGAGTTCACTCTCGCGAGATCCGGTCGTTGCCATGGCAACGGTCCGGATCTCGCGAGAGGCACCCGGCGGAGCTGCAAGTTAGAGCTCCGCCGGGTCCTCTCTCCAGCCTAGCTGGCTGTCTCCCTCCCTCCCCGCCGGCGGCCGCATGTGGGCCGGTGAGGGAGATCTTTGATCTCCCCACCGGCCCGTCGTGGCAAACAGCGGGGCCGGCGCTAGGAGAGTGCCGGCCCTGCATAGACCGGCAGGGGAGATCCTGTGATCTCCCCTGCCGGCCTCGGCCCATGGCCACCGCGGCCCACCGGGCATTTGCCCGGTGTGCCCGATGGCCAGTCCGGGCCTGTTCGTATCTATGCGCTATTCACCACTTGTTTCTGTTCGGTACATCCGTTCGGGAGAAAATCCCACCACTGCCACCAGTGTAAAGGATCCTTTAGTTCGTGCAGCAATGATCCTTGCAGCTCCTCCCGAAATCCAGCTGAAACGAAGTGATTATAACTCCCAATCCCCCAAACATGAGTCGAGACTTCATGAAGGGGTAAAACGATCTGATTTACTGTGGGCTACCTGCCCGGTATTTATGCAGGTCTCCCACCTAGGGGACCAGATGGAAGACTGGGACAAAAGAATTACAGTAGCCAATCACAGTGGCTATAACATAAGCACTCCCCTTTTACATAGTTCACTCCCTCCTTTCCATCCTGGAGATAATTAACTTAAGATAGCAAAGAGAGCCTTAATTATCTCCAGGTAGAAAGAAATATGGCTTTTCTTATTATTCATCAAACAGCATAAAAATCTATAACTTACATTTTACATAACATAAACTTTAAGTCCCACATGTAACGGCACCCCTAGGCATAAAAGGGGTTAAACGCCGTTTAGAAGATCTTCCCCTTCCAGAGACACAGGCAGCTACTGTAGACACCAATCCACCGAACTGGGACCTCACGAATAGCTGCTAGCAGCTGAACAGGAAAAGCACCCAAGCGGCTTACACGCAATCAGTCTCTAACAGTATACAATAAATCCCCCCAAAAACGAGAAAAAGCTCCGTGTTAGGGGTCAAGCAGTGAACAGACAGAGCTGTGGGTTTATTGTTCTTATATACACATTAGTACCACCCACAGGGTTTTGGAACACAACCAATAAACACATACAATACACTCAGACACTCCCACACAAAATCCTCCCCTCTGCCTGTGATTACATTACCTTACACAATGGGTAATGTAATCATAACAAGCAGAGAAATACAATTTTTCCACATTATTCATAACTTGAAAAGTATGCATCACATTCACATATAACTTACATTTTCAGAATCAGCATACTACAAATACAAACATACGTCAAATTGGTCCAGTGGTTCAAAAGATAGATCGTAGTCCTTTGTGACCAAAGGAAGCATGGCTTTTCTGCCCAAAACCAGTTCCACAGAGTCTTCTATCCTGGAGATAATTAGGAAGTGTAACCTGGCACCCCAACTGGGTACCTCCGTTAAAGGATGCTCCTAGCACTTCCTGAGGACTCCAAGCACTGCAGCAGACACCAAAACCACCGAACCGTAGGAGCATATGAATGCTCACAAGCATATGAATGTGGTATACAGCCGAATAGGAAAAACCATGCAAATAGGTTTACACTCCTAGCAGTCAAACTGGAACAGCATACAATAAATCCTCCCCCAATAATGAGACAACACTTCACTTTGAGGGTTAAGCAGGAACAGACTGTACTGGCACATACAGCCTCTTTTATTCCCAATCCACAAATTTAGTACAGCCCACAGGGTTTTACAGAACAACCAATCAATCTGTACAATACACACAGACACTCCCACACAAAATCCTCCCCTCTGCCTGTGATATGATTACTGAACACAATGAGTAATCTAATTATCACAGACAGAGAAATACAGTTTCATAAAACACATCACAGGGACCCCAAAACATGCAATAAACCACATATCCAAAATTCACCCAGATCCGTTCAGTACTTTGGAAAATACAGTTTAATGCAGATTCTGCAGAACATATACAGGCTAAATGAAAAACAATCACTGTATAATGTGTCCTCTGCTGTATAGTCCAAAACCACTGCACGATGTCTCTGTGCACCAAATACTGGCGAGATGGCACCGTGTTGAAAAGTCCAAACAGTGTCTGTGAGTTAAAATGGCCGCCATCCATTGTTCTCACCATGTGCTTCTGATACAGGAAATGGTGGCCACCCAGTAACTCCACAGTATGTCCCCAGATGGTTCTTAAAGGGCCAGCAGCAACACAACACAAATCCATTATGCCCAAATCATGTCTTTAAAGGGCAATACATCCCAGGGGCCATAGTCACATGGCAGGAGGCTGGCAATCAGTCTTCTCCAATGCCCAGTGGCGAGGTCGGCTTTGCCACAGTAAGTAATCCAATTATCTCCAAGGAGAGAGGCAAAACTCCATTGAACACATGGCAGCAAAAGACAATAAAACACATAATAACATATAACTGTGCAGCCATTGAACAAAACAGGTACATTCAACATATCCCCAGATAGCTTAGATCTGAGCGCACATTATTACTGAATGGCGCTCAGAGCACACACATACAGTTCAATTGCCATGGAGCCAAAGTCTTTCCCATAGTCTTTCATTATACGAATGGGCTCCATGGCATAGCTATCTGAGGTATCACTGCTCAAACAGGGCAAGCACCAAATGACCCGGCTTTCATGTCTTTGCAGGGGAAAATCAAGCCTTTTAATATGGGGCCATAATCCAAAGACAACAGGCGAGCAACCAGGCTTCTCCAATGCAATGTGGCGAGATTGGTCTCCTCACACCCCCAGATTGCTTGTATCTGAGTGCATATTCTAGGTGAATAGCGCTCAGATCCCACGAACACAGTTCTCAAAAACGTTGACTAAAGTTTGACTTTCACGGGCCGTTCGCGTGTTTGTATCCGACAACAAGTTCCATACTGTAGCTATCTGTGGTCGGTCACTTTCGCATACATCCAACGCATGAATGGTGCAGGGTCTCCGGCATTCGTGTGTTTTTCACCGTATAAACGAGGACCTGGAGAGGTAGCAGGGGTGTTCGGCAAAATAAGTATCCGAAATTAGTTCCAGGGCATCGCCGCCATTTACCGCTGAGCGTTCGACAATCCAAAATGGCGATTGCCACGTGTTCGGTAGACGAACGCGGACCACCAAGCTATTCCCCAATTAGTCTGTGGTTAACCGCAAAGTCTGGGTGGTTAATAGGCTCCACACAACCTCAGTAGGAGGTCGGGTGGTTCGGCAGTTCATTCGTTTTTGTCGCTATTTACACGAAATCACTCTATACACATCTAAATAACCGAACAGGCTGGTTCGCATAGTCTGTTCAATAGGGGATTTTGTTACACCCCGTAAGTATAGGGCTGAGTTAATGCGCTTTAGCCATGATATCCCTCTAGCAGGCCACTTAGGGATAAAAAAGACGACAGACCGACTCACCCAGTCATTCTTCTGGCCCGGAGTCACCAGGGGATTACAGGACTACTGTCGGACCTGTGACATATGCCAGAAGGTAGAAAAAAGGGGGGACCATCCCTGAGCCAAGCTACACCCCCTGCCCATAATTGAGGAACCATTTACAGGGTGGCCGTAGATATAGTCGGGCCACTCAGCAAGCCTAGTCCATCCGGTAAGAAATATATTCTTACTGTGGTGGACTATGCCACCCGTTATCCTGAAGCCATAGCACTGTCCAATATACATGCGGAGACAGTGGCAGAAGCACTGGTCCAAGTGTTTAGCCGGGTTGGGTTCCCGAGGGAGAAAGTGTCTGATCAGGGGACCCAATTCATGGCTGTGGTTACCCAGCAGCTCTGGCAGAGCTGTGGAGTAAAACCCATACTGAGTTCCCCCTATCACCCGCAGACGAATGGCCTCTGTGAGCGTTTTAATCGCACCCTTAAACAGATTCTGATCACGTTCACAGAGACCTGTCAGAATTGGGAAACGTTCTTTCCCCACCTGCTGTTTGCGTACCGAGAAGTACTCCAGGAGTTCACAGGCTTCTCCCCGTTTGAGTTACTATACGGGAGACGGGTCCGGTGGCCCCTGGACCTGGTACGTGAGCACTGAGAGGGTGATATGGGAGACTCAGGCATCCCTGTAGTGCCATTTGTGCTGGAGCTGAGGGACCGTCTGCAGACTCTGACAGCATCCATTCCGGAGAACCTGCGGGCGGCCCAACAGCAACAGAAACGCTGGTATGACAGGGGAGACAGGGACCATATCTTGGAAGTAGTGCAAAAGGTCTTGGTACTGAAACCCACCAAGGCCGACAAGTTGCAAGCCTCCTGGCAGTGTCCTTACATGGTGTTAGAAAGGATCAGTGACACCACTTACATTGTAGCTGACTGTTCAGATGAAAGGATCCAACGATCCTTTCATGTGAATATGCTCAAACCATACCTAGAGAGACCAGAGGGAGTCTCCGTAGTATGCGCTCCCGCTTATGAGGACAGTGAGGGTATCCCGCTACCTGACCTACTGCATCAAGAACCAGTAGGAGTAGAACAGGTACAGTTAGGCCCCGACTTGAGTATAGACAAAAAGGCCCAGGTTTCCCAGCTGTTAAGGGAATTTGGGGAAATGTTTTCCGCTGCCCCGGGCTACACGCTGCTGGCAGTCCACAGAGTGGAGACCCCAGGTCAGTTCCCCTGCGGCAGCAACCCTATCGGATTCCCGAAGCCGTGAGGTAAAGTATGTGGAAGGAAATTCAGGAGATGTTGGGGCTGGGAGTCATAGAGCCTTCCCAAAGCCCCTGGTCCCTAAAAAGGATGGCACCACACACTTTTGTGTGGACTATCGCAAATTGAACGATAGGACTGTCACAGATGCGTACCCCATGCCCAGGGTAGACAAGCTACTTGACCGCATGGCTGGGGGGAATTATTTAACCACTATTGATCTGTGTAAGGGGTATTGGCAAATCCCCTTGGAGCCATTCCAAAGTCGGCGTTCGTCACCCCATTTTGCCTGTACCAATTCAAGGTCATGCCATTTGGGATGAAGAATGCCCCGGCTACTTATCAAAGGATGGCTGACCGGCTCCTGGAGGTATTCCAGGGCTTCGCTTGTGCTTATCTGGACAATATAGCTATTCTTCAGTGGCACTTGGGAAGCCCACCTGGAACATATTTCAGTAGTGCTAAAACGTATTCAAACCGCAGGACTTACTTTAAAGCCAGAAAAGTGCCATGTAGGTATGGCCGAAGTCAAATATCTGGGACACAGGGTAGGGTCAGGGAAACAGAGACCAGAACTCGCAAAAATTGAGGCAATCACCCAATGGCCCCAGCCCCGTACCAAGACCCAGGTAATGGCATTCCTAGGCACGGCCGGTTATTATGGAAAATTCGTCCCTGAGTACAGTGTCTTAGCCAAACCCTTAACGGACCTTACCAAAAAGTCCCTATCCCGACAAGTAGTCTGGCCCCCTGAGTGCGAGGAGGCTTTCCAGAAACTCAAGGCTGCGTTAAGTGCATCTCCTGTGTTGGCGACACCATACTAAAAGATTTCTTGTTCACACAGATGCCTCAATGTTTGGACTGGGAGCCGTATTAAGCCAGGTTGGTGACGATGGCCTGGAACACCCGGTGGCATATCTGAGCAGAAAACTATTACCACGCGAAGTCAGCTATGCCACTGTTGAAAATAAATGTTTGGCCTTAGTTTGGGCCCTTAGGAAAATGTAGCCCTACCTCTATGGATGCTCTTTCACAGTAATGACAGACCATAACCCTCTGACTTGGCTTAACAGAGTGGCTGGAGACAACCCCAGACTGCTAAAATGGAGCTTGGCACTGCAACCCTACAATTTTACTATGCAGTATCGCCCTGGGAAGCAAAACGCCAATGCTGATGGGTTGACCCGGCAAACTGAACTGGAGAAATAACACTGTCATCCGGACATCCCCTAGCCGACCGTTAGGATCTAAGCGGGTATGCCGTTCCATGGGACTAAGGGGGAGCTGTGTAACAAAACCTCTGTTTTGTGTGAGCCTTGGACTGGATTTCGTATGACATTCGTGTGTTTTGCTCGTTCACGTCTTCTTTAAAATACCGAATAAACTCCCGAACCACCGGACCACCTACAATGGTCGTGTGCAGCTCATTAACCACCCAGCCATTGCGGTTAACCACAAGTAATTGTCGAACGGCTGGGTGGTCAGCGGTCGTTTGCCGAACATGTGGCGGCGGCCATTTTAAATCGTCGAACGCTCAGCGGTAGTTTGTCGACGATTCCCTGGAACTCTTTTCGGACACTTATTCCGACCGCTGAAACTTAACAACCTCCACTCTCATTCATCTCCTAATGCATGAACACTATATCTTTCGGGACTTTCATAACAGACGAATGAAACTAACCACAGGTAGTTAATAATTGTACTGTAAACTGATTGGTTCTGTATTTTGTGTCACAGTTTTCCACAAGGTCCCCTTTGGGAGTTTCCTTGCTGGAAGACCATCATAAAAGGCAGAGTGTGGCCAGCATTAAACCAGATTGTTTTACCCCTTCATGAAGTCTCGACTCATGTTTGGGGGATTGGGAGCTATAATCACTACTTTGCTCTACGTCAGCTGGGATTTCGGGAGAAGCTACAGGGATCGGTCCTACAGGGATAGCAGGATCCATTACACCCAATAACTAACCCAAAAGCTAGCTATAGATTGTGCTCTTTTTTTTTATTTTATTTTTTTTAAATCTTGCTACTTAATCCATTGGCACAATGCCTGAAAGCACATGTATACTATGTAGATGCCCAAGTGTTATTTATTACTTGCCTTCCATGCATTGTTTACACATTGTGTTACTTGGGTGAGGAAATTAGGAATTGCCATTCCAGTGAAGTGACAGCTCTGCATTAAAAAAAAGTACAAATATCCAGAATTATAGATTGCCAAAACAGATTTCCATATCATTTTCTGTGACTACAAGAAAGCATTTCACTCAATCACCAAGATAGACTTTTCATTACAACCAGATCTGCCCTCACAGTGAGTGCCTTCTCATTTTTGTATGAACATAATTTGTTGAAGTCAGATGATTTTTGTTCCAGTAATTTTTCTGTTTGTACTGTGTGGACTGTGTATGGTGTTTGGTTGCACTGCAAAATTTTGACTGCATGTGCTCATTTGCATGTCAAACTGGGGACTCTGGGATAGATGTGGAAACATGATTTCTCAAGTTACTTTGAGGACTTCTCAAAGTCCAACTTGAGCTATGTAGATGAAGCATACATTTTTTTTTTCTATTTGCACTGTGGGGAGTTTTATTGTTTGGTTCTAGGTTTTGGCTACTTTGGCCTAAAATTTTAAATTTAGTTTGAGTAACCCTAAAGGTGTACCTAATAAGCCTATCACTTTCCATTGGCACAATGGGCAACTGTAAAGATTACATGACCTCAAAAACCCACTGATATTGTAAACTAGAATAATTGCTCAAATTACTTGTTGCTTCAAATACAAACACTGGTGTCCACTTGTCCTATCTAAGAAGCGTGCCTGTACACACGTTTTGCCATAACAAATTATGTACACACACAGGCTGTGGCGTCCTTTGGTCATGGATGTGTCAGAACTCAGAAGCAGGGCTTATGTTCCCTTACACGCAATGCACAGCTCAGTGAATTTTGGCTACTCATTGTGAGTTTGCTGAGAATTAAAGAAGTGCAATGCACTGGTAAGGGAGCAGACTCATCATCAGCCAGACTCATCAAGTCAAGGCAAACTAAATGTGGGCATAATAAAATGTTGGCAATGTGGCATGGATGTGGACATAATAGAATGAAGGCAAACTGAAATACAATACTTGCAATCGTATGTGTTATATTAAACCATGGCAATTGTAGCGGGACCTTATGTCCTGATCCCAGGTTCAGACAACACTCAGCCATGGAGGATCTCTGTCCTTACCAGGGATTTTTCCCTATTTTCTTCTCCCTGCAAGCTGGAACCACAGACGCAGGGGTTAAAATCTTCTTCTCCTCCAGTAAAAGGACACACAGTTTGGAGGTTTAAACACTGGCATCTCACCAGGCTGAGTCACACTATTTAATGATTACAGCTTCCTCTAAGCACAGACCTCCGCAGGGGGTCTCCATTCCACACAATACACTTCCCTTAGTCCAAGGCAGTAGGGGGATGGGTTAAAGATAGCCATCTCCCACCTTAGGAGATACCAAGCAGTACACAGGGAGCAGTACACACTTTACATCATATTACATTCGGGGGGGGGGGGTTACATTTTAAGTGGCTGGTTTTGCCACCAGGGCCGGACTGGGGATACAAAGCAGCCCTGGAAAAAAAATATCTATGCCAGCCCCATAAGTCATTGAGCCACATATTGTCACATGAAATACGTACGGCTATGTCTTGCCACCCCAGATGATTGAGTCATATATAAATACATATATTTTTTGTATATATATATATATATATATCATCTGGGGTGGCAAGACAGATAATATATGATTGAGTCATATATAAATACATATATTATCTGTCTTGCCACCCCAGATGAGATAGATATTTGTATTTTACAAATACATATATATATATATATATATGTATTTGTAAAATATATGTATTTATATATGACTCAATCATCTGGGGTGACAAGACATATTATTGGTCAATATATATATATTTATTTGTTTTTTTTTTAATATAAAATATTCCTTTCAGAGTCAAACATTTAATTATACAGTAAGCATACTCACATGCAGACACAGACAATCTCACTGACATACGCAAGCTCATTGATACACAGTGTCATAGACAAACATACTCACTGATATATATAAGCTCATTGACATAAATACACAAGTATACAGATGCACACAAATAGGCTCACTGACAGACAATCTCACTGACATGCACAGACAAGCTTATTGGCATACACACACACAAATGTAGTACATACTTACTACAGACAAGCTCTCACACACACACAAGCTCACTCACTAGAATGCACACACAAGCTCACTCACTAGCAGACACATACACACAGACAAGCTCACTCACTAGCAGACACACACATACACACACACACACACACACAGACAAGCTCACTCACTAGCAGACACACACACACATACAAGCTCACTCACCAGCAGACACACACACACACACACACACAGACAAGCTCACTCACTAGCAGGCACACACAAGCTTACTCACTAGCAGACACACACACAGACAAGCTCACTCACTAGCAGACACACACAAACAGACAAGCTCACTCACTGGCAGACACACACACACACACACACAGACAAGCTCACTCACTGGCAGACACACACACACACACACACAGACAAGCTCACTCACACACACAGACACACAGACAAGCTCACTCACTAGCAGACACACACACACACACAGACAAGCTCACTCACACACACACACACACACACAGACAAGCTTGCTCACTCACTAGCAGACACAGACACACAGACACACAATCACTGTCCTGGCTGAAGCTTACCTGGTAGGTGAAGTTTCCCTTTTGTAGCCTCTTCCTTCCGGCGAGCAACGTGTGGGGGCGGGGCTTGCGTTGGGAGGCAGAGCTATGTTAAGGAGGCGGGGCTTGTGTGCGGAGGCGGCGCATGCGGACGAAATTAAGGTAAATTGTGCCGGGAGACTGACAGGGCTGATCAGGGCTGTCAGACCGGCCCCAGGTGCCGCGGCCTACCGGGAATTTTCCCGGTATCTCGGTGGGCCAGTCCGGCCCTGTTTGCCACCGATAGGAATAGCAATGGAGTAATAGCAAGATATATACAAGGACATTCTCTAAGTGGCTAGGTTTGTCACAGGGGACAGGGGCAAGTGATTGCCAAATACAAAGGGAAACACATACTTAACAAGGGAAAAACATCACAGTACATATTGGAGACACAAAATATAAAACCAAACCTCTGAATACTCAGGGGACATGGCACTTAGTGGCAATGTCCCGCCACAGCAATACACTTTTATTAGTCTTGAAAGAAAGGTACTGACAAAACTATCTTGATAACCGTTTAAGGTTTACATTTTGCACAAACATTTAGTATGCACATACTTGTAGCAGGAAAAAAAATTGCAAACAAAAAAGGCAATCGTCTTTCTACCTTTTTCTAGGGAATCATTTTGAAAGCATTTACTGCTGAGTTGCATTAAAGGGACACTATAGTCACCCAGACCACTTCAGCTCAATTAAGTGGTCTGGGTTCCAGGTCCCTCTAGGGTTAACCCTGCCTGCTGTAAACATAGCAGTTTCAGAGAAACTGCTATGTTTGCATTTGGGGTTAAGCCAGCCTCTAGTGGCTGTCTTCCGGATAGCCACTAGAGGCGCATCTGCAACGCTGGAGGCATATTATGCCTCCATCACGCAGAGCGTCCATAGGAAAGCATTGAAAAATGCTTTCCTATGGGCACTTTGAATGCGCGCGCAGCAGTGCCGCGCATGCGCATTCGGCTCCTGTGACGTCGGACAAGGATGCTGACATCGGCAGGGAAGGAGAGGTAAGGAAGCCTGGCGCTGAAATTAGGTGAGCGCCACAGAAGGGGTACCCTGAGGGTGGGGGCACCCTCAGGGTACTATAGTTTTAGGAAAACCGATTTGTTTTCCTGACACCATAGTGTCCCTTTAATTAAAGGGTATCTGTATCCTCTACCCCTCCAATTTATGCTCATTTTAAAGAGCATAGTTTTGCTAGGAAATTCAATAATTTGGAGAATAACACTGGAAAAATAGGTATTTTTTCCATTTATCACTCAAATATTCGGCATAGATTCTATGCTGATGATTCGACTGACAAGGGAGAGCAGAAAAAAACCATCCTTTAGTGTTCCTCTTGCTCTTTCGTGCAACCACAACACATGCGCTTCCTAGCTGGCACAGCTAGCTTTGGCTATAGAGCATAGGATTGGTGGAATAAAGCGTCACTGAGGAGCTTTGCCCTGCTTGGGGAAACATTACCAAGCTGGGTAAATCAAAGAAGATTGGAGAAATGGAAGAGGGACCTGGAGGTGGGTGTCACACGAAGAGTAGCACCCACCAAGCTAAGAAGATACTTGCGCTGGAACAGAGGTGAAGAGAGAGTATCTTAAAAAATTACATTGAATATATCATGTATGTTGTGTTTTTTGAGACACATAATGTATTCAATGTAAATGGGGGTGACTCAAGGTAAAATTATTTTACATTCTATTGCCCTCCAATTAAATGCATGTATCAAGTAATGCATTCCTTGCGGACTTAATATTGCAGACTTCAGGCCACAACATTTATGTAATATAATTGATGCATGAATTAAAGTTAACTTGAACTTAGTGATATATTTTTCTTATATTACCAGTGCCCATTTAGAAATTGATGCATAACTCGCAGTTATTCTTTAACGAATGCCAACTACTTCAATGTAGAGCTGAAACATGCATTAACCAATATACGAATTAAAAATAATAAAACCTCTTCAGGCATTCACACAACAAAATACCATCTGCCCGTCGATCGGCAGTTACTATAATGAGCAGAATTATTTGGCTGCAAACGTGAGCACAATGAGCCTTCAGAAACATTGCTCTCTAAAAATTTCTGCCTTGTTTGACGAAATCAGGGACAAGTCATGCTGCAGAACAGGCTTTCTGGTCGTGTAAGTAACCTTTGCCCGAATTAAACAAAACTTGGCAGCCGCCTATGATTGGCCACAACTGAAGTTGTGATCTTCCCTCCTACAGGCAAAGATCCGGGTCGAAATATAAGGAAGCTGATGTGGCTAACTCTGCCTCAGTCCTAGAATTTGGGTTGTTTTGTACTAACCTCTCACTGGTAAGTGTAACAAAGAAGCGAGTTGTGGATATTTAATACAATAGGATTCTAGCTGTGCTATTGTTCTTGGTTGTATTATTGAGTGCAGCACTGATCATTCTTAATTGTGTGTGCATCTCACGGGGGACAGAGAATTTGGTAGGATCTATTCTCTAAACAGCAAATTGTAGTGAACAGAGAAACTGACGAGGTTATGCACTAAAGTGAGAATTTAAAGTGTGTTTTGACCAAATTTAAGGTCAAAATAGCTGAGCTGGAAAAACATCTATGTCAGCTATGCTTTCAGTTTAGCTACTTTGGCCTTAACTTCAAAATTCACTTAGAATTCTCACTTCAGTAAATATACCTGTTTAATGCAAAAAGTGAGCTGGGAAAAAGTTTTCTAATTCTGCTGGTTCCTTGACTATACTCACCTGAATTTTGCAATTTGATTTCTTTTCCAGAATAACCAAATTTCAAAAATCTGATTTGTAGCAAATTGAAAACTGAAATTCAAAATGTAGGCAAAATCAGCTGGAAAAAAATTCTGACTTGGCAATTGTCACAGACTATTTTAGCCTTAACTGTGGCATTTGGATTTCCATTTGCTGCATTTTGTCGTTTAGTGAATAATCCTGAATGAGCACCAGAGTATAATATTGAAATTCCAAGGGGTCATGGTAATCTTAAATTATCCAATTTCTCTGCCAGTGCTCATGTGAGGTGCTGTCAGACACTCATTTTTTTTAAAACCATTTTTATTTCCTTCGATGTCACATGCTTGACAGACCATAAGTACCTTGTTAACCCCTTAAGGACATATGTCACATGTCATGATAACCTTTTATTCCAGAAGTTAGGTCCTTAAGGGGTTAAATCTATTATTTAAAACAAAAACAAAAAAAAAATATTTTGTTTATAGGGCAAAGAATCCCATGATTGCTATCATTTCTATCATGCATGACTGTCTTTGCAATTATGCTCTCTATGTGATACTCTACATGTCTAAGGGATAGTTATTTTATTTTTTTATATGCAATATTCTAGATATATATATATATTTTTTTTTATTTTTTTTTTATTTTTTTTTTTGCCTTGTGATTTTCACAATGGATGGGTCATTTACATGTACCTTTTGTACACAGTGTTCATTCCTCTGCTGAATGCCAGGTTGGAACATGTCTGGTTACTTGTTATCTAGGGGCAATAATTAACCCATCATCTATGAACTATGTCCCAACCAGCCTTCTATTTGATAGACAAATAAGTGTATGTCAATGAAAAGTTGTTTACTGTAGGGTTTATTTGAAAGCTGAATGGCAAAAATAGCTGATCTGGAAAACCTCCAACTCTTCTAAAGTTGCCACAAGGCTTCTGTGCTGCTGACGTTTCAGTGTGTTACATTTCAGAGCTTTGAATAATGACCCTTATATCTATTAGTTCTAGATATGCATCATTAATAATACGAACCTTAAAATATGACAACTTATATGTATTACTTTTAACAGGCAAAATCAATATGACTCCCCAACATCAAGCACTCACTCCAGAGCAGAAAAAGGAATTGTCAGAGATTGCTCAGCGTATAGTTAAGGATGGAAAAGGAATCCTGGCAGCAGATGAATCAGTTGGTAAGATTTTTTGGTTTAATTAAGTTATGTTTTTTTTTTTGTTTCTTGTTAATTAATTCATTTATATCTGCCCAGACCAGGGCCAAACATTCTTTCTCCACTGCCGCATAAACTCACTTCCCGAGGTAGTAACTTTCTGCTGAGGTATGCGACAGGGTGCTTTCCTCCATCCCCCCCTGACCTGGCCCAGTCCATACATAGAAGCATCTGTATTAACGGGAAAGCGTTTGTTAGGGACTGGGGCAGCCAAGTCAGGGGCGTTCACAAGAGCCTGCTTCAGTGCCTGAAACGCGGCTTCACAAGCTGGAGACCACAGGACCTGCTTAGGGAGATTCTTTTTAGTCAGGTTAGTCAGGGGCTTGGCGATAGTGCTGTAGTCAGGGTCAAAACGTCAGTAGTACCCTGCCGTCCCCAAGAAGGCTAGCACATGGGTCTTAGTGATAGGTGTGGGCCAGTTAGCCACTGCCTCTACCTTGGCGGGCTCCGGTCTCTTGCTCCCACACCCCACTCTGTGACCCAGGTACTGCACTTCAGCCATACCTAGATGGCACTTCTCTGGCTTCAATGTCAGGCCAGCGGCCTGAATCTTATCCAGCACTACCCCTACATGGACCAGGTGTTCCTCCCAGGACTCACTGTAGATAGCAATGTCATCCAGGTATGCACAAACAAATTCCTGGAAGCCATCGAGGAGTCTATCCACCATACACTGGAAGGTAACCGGGGCATTTTTCATCCCAAATGTCATGACCTTAAATTGGTACAGGCCAAACGGGGTGACAAATGCCGACTTGGGGATCGCATCCTCAGCCAGGGGAATCTTCCAATAGCCCTTACACAGGTCTATGGTGGTCAGGTAGCGTCCCCTGGCAATACGGTTTAACAATTTGTCTACCCGGGGCATCGCGTAAGCGTCAGTGGAGGTCCGCTCGTTGAGCCACCTGTAGTCCACAAAGAACCGGGTGGTCCCATCTTTCTTAGGCACCAGAACTACTGGTGAGGACCAAGGGCTATCGGAGTGTTCGATGACCCCAAGCTGGGTCATCTCCTGTATCTCCTTCCGCATTCCTTCTCGGACTGCTTCAGGAATACGGTGGGGGGGCTGTCGCAGGGGGTTCTGTCCAGGGGTCTCTATCTTATGTACAGCTAGGGTAGTGTAGCCGGGCTCTTGGGAGAATGTCGCCTACTTCTCCCACAGAAGCTGCTTCGCCTGTACCTTCTCTGTGTGGCTTAACCGGTCCCCTAGCTGCACAAGGCTAGTAAGGTCAGTCTGGGGGTCCCTCTCTAGCAAATCGGGAAGGGTTCTCTGGGTCTTCTGCAGCAGGGGCACACACTGCAGCGCCATTCTCCGGTCTCTCCTGATACTTCTTCAGCATGTTCACATGAAAGGATCGCTGGATCCTTTCATCTGCACAGCTGGCTATAGTATATGTAGTATCACATACCTGAGCTAACACTGTATACGGGCCCTGCCAAGATGCTTGCATCCTGTTCGCCTTCACAGGCTTGAGCACCAAAACTTTTTGCCCAATCTGGAAGATCCACTGCCGGGCACCCCGATCATACACCTCTTCTGTCTCCCCTGGGCCGCCTGGAGATTCTCTCTTACCATCAGGGACAGTTTCTCCGTGTGATCCCGTAGTTCCAGGACATGTGGCACTATGGGGGTCCCCTCCTGCTCTGTCTCTCCCTCCCAGTGCCCTCTAATGAGATCTAGGGGTCCGCGGACCCTTCTCCTATAGAGTAACTCAAAGGGGGAGAACCCAGTAGATTCCTGGGGCACCTCTCTGTAAGAAAATAGCAGATGAGGCAGGAACCTCTCCCAGTCTCTGCAAGTGTCAGTAAAGGTACTCAGCATCTGCTTGAGGGTGCCATTAAAGCGCTCACAGAGACCGTTAGTCTGTGGGTGATAAGGTGAGCAAAGCAGCGGTTTGATGCCGCACACCTCCACAGCTGCTGGGTGAGCACAGCGGTAAACTGGGTCCCCTGGTCGGAGAGAATCTTCTTAGGGAACCCGACCCTAGTAAAAATCTTACCCAGGGCATCAGCAACCGTCTCTGCCTCTATATTAGACAGCGCTACTGCCTCTGGATAATGAGTGGCATAGTCCACCATGGTGAGAATATACTTCTTACCAGATGGACTAGCCCTGGCCAGTGGACCCACAATGTCAATGGCTATGCGGGAAAAGGGTTCCCCAATAATAGGCATAGACATAAGTCTAGCTTTTGAGTGGTCCCCCTGCTTTCCTACCCATTGACATGTGTCACAAGTACTACAGTATACCCGCACAGGCTGATTAAAATTGGGCCAAAATAAATTCTGAGTGATCCTATGGGCTGTGCAGCGAGACCCTAGATGTCCAGCTAATGGCACATCATGCCCGATCCGCAGAATCTCCTGCTGGTATTTCGCAGGCACCACCAGCTGTCGATTCTGTGGAGGGGCAGCACTTTTCTGGGAAGGTTTAGGGATTCTATACAACCTGTCTCCCACCCACTCATACCGTTCCCCAGCTACTCTTTCCTTTCTAGCATATGCCCTAGCCCTATACTTCTGTAGAGTCGGGTCCGCCCGGGTTTCCCTCCAAAACTCCTCTGGGGTATCCCAGCCTAAGGGGGCCTGATCTAGGGTACAAGTCGGGGGAAGAGAGTCCTACCTGGGTCTCAGCAGCAGGCGGGCCGGCTCCGGCAGCACGGGTCTGGGCGCGTGTACTCACAGGGTTAACATCAGCTGGACCCATCGGAGCATAGGCAGAAACAAGGGGGGCCTATGCTCCAATGGGAGGACATCAGCGGGCAAATCCTTCATAACCCCCACATCAACGTGTCTAGCGCCCACTCCCCAATCCAAATGTACCCGGGCAACAGGTAGGCGGAACACAGTGCCCACTGCTACCCTCACTGCCACAGTGTCTCCGGTGAGCTGGTGCTCTGAGACCAAGTCCTTTTGGAGCAGGGTCATAGTCGCATCGGTATCTCGCAGACCGCTGACTAGTCTCCCATTCAGCTTAACAGTTTGTCAGTGCTGGTGCCGGTTGTCCTGGTGGGCAGCTTGGACGGGGTCTGCCTCGTGTAGTATGCCTTAAAATTCCTCCTGCTCGATACAGTGAGCAGCAGGCTGAGGGTTGCGTTGATTCCCGCCGGCTGGTCTTCTCCATGACCGTGCCTGGTTAGCGGTGTTCAGCGGGCACTCCAGTCTCTTGTGCCCCAGCTGCTTACACCCAAAGCAGCGGCTGGGCTGTGAGTAACCCCGCGCGTTGAACCGGCATGGCTGGGCATAGTTGGTAGCTGGCGGTAGTGTTGGAGTGCGGTGCGCCGGGGGTTGGTAGGCAGTCACGGCTGGGGGTGCTGCTGGTCTGTACTCCACTCTGGCAGGGACTTTAGTTATCGCATTGTCCAGTTTACGGGCATCTGTATATTCATCTGGCAGAGTGGAGGGTTTGCGGTATCGGACCCACTCTCTGGCAGGCAATTTGTCAAAGCAGTGTTCCAGCAGGAAAATCTGCAGCACCTCTTCCCCGGATACTGCTTGGCACCTCGCCATCCAGTGGGCAGCTGTGCGGTGCACTCGACATGCCCACTCCACGTAGGAGTCGCCAGCTTGCTTAGTTATTTCCCGGAACCTCCGACGGTATGCCTCTGGGGTCACCGCATACCTGGCCAAAAGGGCATCTTTCACTGCCCGGTAACTGGTAATCTCCTCTTCTGGGATGGCCCGGAAGGCTTCACTGGCCCGGCCGGATAGTTTCCCAGAGAGGATAGTGACCCATTCATCTGCGGGTACCTGGTGTAGGGCACACTGTCTCTCGAAATCAGCCAGGAACCTGTCAATCTCTCCCTCTGCTTCAACAAAGTTTTTAAATGCAGCAAAGGGTACCTTCTTTCTTCCAATATTATTATTGGGTACCTACGCTGCTGCAGCTCCTCTTTCTTGGAGCGCCTGGTGTGCCCTCACTGCTGCTTGCACCCGTTCCACAAAGTCCGCTGTAGGGTTGAGGCCAAAGTGTTGCCAGCCTTATCTGGACTGCCCAGTTGAATCGGATTTCCTCGGGTGTTAGGTCCAAGATGCTGGGCACGTTAGTTCTCTCCGTTCCTTGCGCTGCATCCATTTCAAGTAGCTGTGCAATAATCTCCCATTTTTTAAGATTGCTTGTTGACCGTCCTCGGCGTTCTAGTATGTCTTTAAGGGTAGCATGCCTCATACTGCATTTCCACCAGCCTGGGATGTGTAGCTGTCCTTCTGGGTGGTGGGAATAATCCCGTCGCTTGCCACCAGTTGTTAAGACACGCCCGGCATAAAGGAGTGAAATCTCAGTTTAGGAGAGCTTCCCCTTTCAGAGATACAGGCACGGCTACTTTAGACCCCAAACTCCCGAACTAGAACCAGGGGAATGCGCCTATCTCCCGAACAGCATACTTGGTAATACTCCAAACTCCCGAACAGTAATCCCCCGAATCACTAGATAACAGCCGAACCAATACAACATCCAAGCGGCTTACATTCCCAGCAATCAGTCTCTATCCGTGTATAGTAACACCCCCCCCCCCATCACGAGACCAAGCTCCGTATTGAGGTTAAAACAAGATCTGGCTTTAATGAGGGCTACCTGCCCATATTTATGCAGATCTCCCACTTGGTGGACACTCCCCTAGGGGACCAAATGGGAGACTGTAACAAAAGTATCAGACAGGTATCAGATTGGGACATACAGTCACAATACATCTCCACAATGCATCCTGGCTTCCTCCCCTCTGCCTTGGAGATAATTGAGAAGTAATTCAATTATCTCCCAGGACAGGGGCAAATCGCCATTTCACACGTGGGGACCACAGGATAGAGAATTACTTTAAAATGTACAGTGTTACAAATGTTACAATAAATATAGACATGTAACATGTCCCCAGATAGCTCAGGTCTGAGCGTACATTATTAGGTGAATGGCGCTCAGACCACACGAATACAGTTTAATCGCCATGGAGCCAAAGTTTTTAATTCCACGAACAGGCTCCATGGCATAGCTATCTGGGTACTTTCACATAGATTGTAATATAGAGCTCAGAGTCCCGAATGCTCCGCCGTTCGGTTCACGAACGGAGCTGAAGACCCGTAGGCTGGTAGCTCAGCGGTGCTTGGAAGGAAAAGTGTCCTCTTTTGGTGTACTGAAGGTGGGCAGAACAATGCTGGCTGCCCGGGGAGCTCGATAACACTGTCATCATGTGGCGGTTATGTGTAACCGCGACCACCCAGTAACAGCTTCCCGGTGGTCGCGTAATCGGTAGCCGTTCGGGAAACAAGGGGGCTGTACGGGCAAAGAAATAACCGAACAAGGAGACGAATGGAGGGAGGAGAAACATAATCCAAAGACAGACGGTTCTGTCACATATCTCTTCTTTCTTCCTTCTTTCTTCCCCTCAACCATTCTTCTGTTCAAGTATCTGCAGAATATGCTAATAACTTTGGAGATGCTCTTTTACAGGCACTATGGGTAGCCGTCTCAAGCGTATTAATGTGGAGAATACAGAGGAGAACAGACGATCCTTTCGCGACCTTCTTTTCTCTTCAGATGCCTCTCTGAATAAGTATATTGGTGGTGTCATTCTTTTCCATGAAACACTCTACCAGAAATCCAGTAATGAAGTTCCATTCCCCAAATTCCTTAAAGATCTTGGTGTTGTTGTGGGAATTAAGGTACATCTCTATAATTCTAATGCACTCTCCTATGTCACTTATTTTAAGCAGTGGAATAAAACCCCAAACACATCATCTTCTTATTTTTCCTCTGCTAATATAGGTAGATAAAGGTACTGCAGCCTTAGCTGGAACAGATGGCGAGACCACAACACAGGGTTAGTTCCTTATAACATGTTGCATGTTGTGCATTATTTAGTTCTGAATCACTGCTTCATTTACAAGCTTGATTTTCCATTCTCTAATCCCAGGTTTAGATGGACTTGCAGAACGATGTGCTCAGTACAAAAAGGATGGTGCTGACTTTGCCAAATGGCGCTGTGTGTTGAAAATTTCTCACTCTGCTCCTTCAAGTCTTGGTATTTATGAGAATGCCAATGTCTTGGCACGATATGCCAGCATCTGCCAGCAGGTGATTATAGTAAAATAATTGTTCGAATGTGCATAAGATGATACAGTGAAGGGAAGAAAAATACTTAACAATGGCACAGTGGATAAGCTACATGGGCCAATTGGCTGTTGTCAGTCACAGCAGGTGTTCAAAAACACAGCTGTAAAATGCATATTTTTATATTCTCAATTTTATTTATAGGACACTTTAAAGGCTTCAGGCACCAAATTACTGCATGATGTAGTGGGTTTGTTATTCGAGAGTTTTCTTTAAAGAAGCATTCATGGTCTTTTACATATTTTAGCAAAAGGCAAGTGTTTCATTAAAAGAATAATTATATCTTATACCCTTTTGGCTTTACACACTCCCTTCTAGCCATTCTATATTCATACCAGCAATGGGAGCTGTGATAGACTGAAAGCGGTCATCTGAAGCTCTCAGCCAATCACAGCCACCCATTAGCGCTATCAGCACAGAGGGGATGGGCTGCTGGGGACTCTTGTTTAGCATTAAATGCGATTGTACACTGAATAGAAGGATGGTGCCAAGGGCCTTCAGACATTATAACCACTTTAACGAGATGAAGTGCCCAGTGTCCCTTTTAATTATATGCCTTGTTTGCCAAACCTCAATTATTCCAAAACAAAAAATCCTTCCTTATCTGCTCACTTACCAATGTATATAGAGCTCAGTCATTGGCTGAGCTGAACTGTAGGGAGTGAAGCAGCCTGCACCAGAATAAACTAACACAAAGACATACACATTCAGTTTTGAACTTGTAAGCAAATACTGCATGTTTAGGTCAAAAACTGTCAAATGTGTTAAAATTGATTTGGTGCTTGGAGTGCTCCTTTAAAGTGGCCGAATGGGCTTTGCTGTTTTAGTATCTGGTGAGCGCAGAGTGCAGGAAAAAGTGTTAAGTTTTAGTTACCTGAAGCTGTCCCTCGAGACTGCCACCAATTGCACCTGTTGGATCCTCTTGCTATTCTATTCAGCATAAAGCTAATTTGTAGGTGGTGGTCAGGCAGCTATGTTATCATAATAATTCTCTAACATAACAGGACTATTTTCTATTCCACAGAATGGCTTAGTCCCAATTGTAGAGCCTGAAATTCTATCTGATGGTTCTCATGACCTCCAGAGATGTCAGTATGAGACTGAAAAGGTGAGAACAATTTTTATAATGTGTATGTTCACTATTCCTCATAAAATGAAAGAATTGTTAAACACCATTTTTTTCCAAATACGACATGAGTTTTCCCAAAGGCTGTTTAGTACTTGAACAGCTCTTGACCAGAATGTTATCAGTAACTATGATGCTATAGGTCCTAAATAGTTACGTAGTTAGTTACATAGGCTGAAAAATGTGTCCATCAAGTTCAGCCTTCATCACGTTTGTTTTTTGCTGTTGATCCAAAAGTAGGCAAAAAAACTAAAGAGATTAAAATTTGTTAACCTTTCGTTATAGCTAAAATGTTCCATCACTTTTATTTATTTTGTAACCCGCCTCTGCACACATGATACCCTTCTTTAGAACAGGTGCCCACTATTGCACAGCATATTCAAGATGTGGTCTTACCAGTGATTAATAAAGAGGCAAAATTAAGTAATGCCCTCTTTCATGGATGACAATATCTTACTGGCCTTAGCCACTACTGATTGACATTGCACATTGTTTCATCGTTTGTCTATAACAATTCCCAAGTCCTTCTCGTGTGTTGTTATCTGTTACGGTACCTCCAGTAATAAAATGCACAAACCGCCGTTTAGTGAATGCTCCCCGTTCGCAATAATGTGGTCTGGTAGCGTGTATAGTAAAACCATGCGAACCGCCAGTTAGGGAACACTCCAAACTCCCGAACGGTACCTGTATGGCTCTTTCCCTTCACGAGCTCCAAATCCACGAACTGCCAATATTAGCCGAACGCCAATATCTTCCAAGCGGCAAATAATTCCAATAAGCAGTCTCTAAGCGCTGGTAATAAAATCCCCCCAATAACGAGACCAAGCTCCGCTTTGAGGGTAAAACACAAACTGATTTACTGTGGGCTACCTGCCCGGTATTTATGCAGGTCTCCCACTTGGTGGACACTCCCCTAGGGGACCAAATGGGAGACTGAAAGGACAGAAGGACATGGGGACATTTTGGACATACATCCCCACAATATTCCCAGCATGCATCACAGTTCCCTCCCCTCTGCTCGGGAGATAATTGGGAAGTAATTCAATTATCTCCCAGAGCAGAGGCAAATCGCCATTTTAAATACAAGTCATAAAACACATAAAAATCTATAACTTTATAACTGCTGAACATATTGCATTCGTGTAACACATCCCCAGATAGCCTGGATCTGAGGGCATATTATTGGCGAATAGCGCTCAGATCCCATACGCATAGTTCAATCGCCATGGAGTCAAAGTCTATTACAGTTCTTCGGTATGCGATTGACTCCATGGGAAGGCTATCTGGGGTAAGTCCATTCGTGTTGTTGAATCTCCCGAACGGCCGGCATTCGTATGCTTTTGTCGATTGAGAAGGGGAGGTCGACGGCTTCAGCGGTGTTCGGTTGAAAAAGTGTCCGTTTTCAGTTCCATGAAATAACCGTCGAACACCGCTGGTCTTTCGCATGGTTAAAATGGCCGCCGCCTCGTGGTCGACATACGAACGACGACCACCCGGTATTCGGTTTTAATTGAGAAGTGTCTGTGGTTAACCGCAACATTCTAATTGGGATCAATAGGTTAACCAGCAGCACACTTCTCTTCTGGGTGGCCGTCCGTTCGGTAGTTTCGTTCGACAAAAACCGACATTCCCTTAAACAAAGCATACGAATGGGGGAATTCATGCAACCGGCAAAACAGACGAACACAGTACTTTTAGTCCAGGCAGATGGGTCTGTCACATTATCCCTATAGAAAGAAATGGAACTAGTGAGGTCAGAGATCCGCCTGAAACAGGAGTTTCCTCCTGTTTCAGGCGGATCTCTGACCTCATTAGTTCCATTTCTCTAAATTTAAAAAATCATTATAGGTAATAATATTTATTATTATGAATATAACCGACACACAAACAAACAAAAAATGTGCAACCTAAAGTAAATAAAAATAATAATCAAAAATGTTAATGATAACAATTAAAAGGGAATGGAGACCTAGATGGCTAAATATAGAGCTTGAGTGAAAATTTATTATTATTTATAAAGCGCCAACAAGTTCAGTAGTGCTGTACAATGGGTGCACTAACAGACAAGTAGATGTGCCCAGACAAGTTGGACACACAGGAACAGAGGAATTGAGGGCCCTGCTCAATGAGCTTACATGCTAGAGGTAGTAAGGTAATGTGACCCAAAAGTTAAGGGTAGGGTAGAAAAGTAGGTTGCTGGGATAGTGTTTGTGAAGAATCACCCTCCACTCATGCGGTTCTCTCCCTCCCTGCTACTTTATTCATTGGATTTGTTACCTTTATTGCTGGTAGATTTGTTACTTTCATTTCGTTAATTTCTCTTGTTCAGTAAAATAGTCAGCATACCGAACGAGGACCACCCTGGGTAGCAATTAGAACTTACAACTCTGAGTAACTTCACGAAAACCGCAAGTTAATTGACTGTTCCGAGGTAGCTGCCATTTTGGCATACGAACTTGTGACGAGAACAATGGATGGCGGACAGCGGGACTTGGCCTGTCCCCCTCTGGAAGTCCCATACGAACCCCTTCTAAATACGGCAGAAGAACGGCGCTCGGGAGTTTGTAACAGATGAATGAGGGAAGCATTCTCCAAGAACCAGATTGAAGATATCTACAGCGGTTTTCGTACAAATTTCATCCGAACGGAGACCGACTCTTGCCCTGATTCTATGGAACTCTGAGTCGGCTACAATCTCGTGGCGAGCTGGTCAAACTTCCACGCAGTGTAACTTCAAAACTACCGAACGGATTTTCACCGAACGGTGAAAAACTACTGAACGGATTTTCACCGAACGGTGAAAAACTACTGAACGGATTTTTTTTAAAATATGTTGCTCACATCACCCTCAGCTACCCAGGGATATGGTTTTTATATTAATATGTTCTGTATAAAGTATATTTTTAAGAATTGTGAAAAATTTTAACTTTTCTGGCCAGTAGATAACTGTGTTTGATAAGTTGCTTAAACTCCATTACCTAGCCTGGCCCAGAGGAGGAGTTATGTGTTGCATAAATTGAGCACCCTTGTTTCCAGTAAATCAGTCTTGTTCCAGCATTAAGCTTTGGCTCATGTGTGGATTATTCGGCGATACCAGCGATTACTTGGCTATTTTATTTTATGGGAAAAAGGGAATGATTGACGGGTCACAGGATTATACCGTCACAGTGTTCATTCAGGGCTTGTTTTGTTTTGATTAGTTTCATGAAAGTAATCAGGGTGCGGGGAGGGGAAGCTGTTCACAGTTTAATTGATATACTTTCCTAAAGAAGTAAGTTTTCAAAGATTTTTTGAAGGAGTGGAAATTTGATGAAAGTCCAACAGAGAGGGGAAGGGCGTTCCATAGGAACGGTGCAGTCCTAGAGAAGTCTTTAAGGTGAGCATCAGAGGTAGGAGTATGAACAGAGGTTAGACATAGGTCTCTGGCAGAGCTTAGGGGCCTAGACGGGAAATATTTGTATATTCGTGAGGATAAGTAGGCTGGAGCAGCATTGTTTATAGATTTGTAATCCAGTATCAGGATCTTAAATTGAGTCCTATATCTCACGGGAAGCCAATGGAGGGACTGACAAAGGGGGAAGGTATGGGAGGTGCGGGAGGACAGAAAGGTGAGCCTCGGGGCAAGTTGGGAATATGTAAGACCACTGAGAAGCAAATTACAGTAGCCAAGACGAGAGAGGACAGTGGCATGGACAGGACCTTTGCCTTATTAGGCGTTAAATAGGTGCGTGCAATATTTTTGAGATGGAAGCAGCAGGATTTGGCGATTGATTGGACATGAGGGGTGAAGGAGAGGTCAGAGTCAAAGAGAACACCTAGGCAGCGAGCCTTAGAGGTAGAGCGGATGCCTGGGTATTCTATATGAGGCTGATCCTGTGCAAGCAGCACCACAGCCAAGAGGTACGGGTGAATGGCCAGGTAGCTCAAGGCCTGAGGGACACAGACGCTACCATCACTCTGATGCAATGGCATTTGGTCAAACCAGAGCACCTGTCCAACCGCACCATTGCTGTTCGTGTCGCTGTAGGAGCTGTCTCCTGCCTCCCTACTGCCCGAGTACACCTGGACTGGGGAGTCGGATCTGGAAAAACCACTGTGGGGATTATGGAAAATTTGCCTGCAGAAGTCGTGCTGGGCAACGATATTGGCCCACTGGCTTCTGCCTATTTACCCACCAACACTGCTACCGCTTGCCCAGTGACCACTCGATCACAGACCCGTGTTGCCGAGGACCCTACACCCGGAATAGAGACCTAGGTAAGCACCCCACCGACAATGGTACCCTAAAAGCACAAAGCACCCCACCGGCAATGGTACCCTAAAACAGTTACTGCTGACCTTTACAGATGAGTACAGAGACTGGGAGCAATTTCTACCGCACCTCTTGTTCGTGTATCGAGAGTTGCCCCACGGGTTCTCCCCTTTCGAACTGCTCTATGGAAGGAGGGTGCAAGGACCCCTCGACCTCATCTGTGAGCACTGGGAAGGGGAGATGGAACATGAGGGGATCCACCATTGTGCTATACGTTCTGGAGATGCGGGACCGCATGGAACAGATGGCCCGAGACCACCTCCATGTGGCCCAGGGCCGACAGAAACGATGGTACGACTGGGGTGCCCGCCAGAGGTCATTCCAGGTGGGACAGAAGGTCCTGATACTTAGACCAGTCAATGGGAATAAGCTCCAGGCCTCCTGGCAGGGCCCTTACAAGGTGGTGGCGCAAATCTGCGACACCACCTATATGATTGGCAGCAATAAGGATGAAAGGGTTCAGAAATCCTTCCATGTTAATCTCCTGAAAGAGTATCAGGAGAGGCCAGAGGATATTGCAGCCATATGTATCCTCGCTACAGAAGAAGTTAGGAGTTATAGAGCCATCTGACAGCCCCTGGGCCTCTCCAGTTGTTTTGGTCCCCAAAAAGGATTGAACCACACAGTTCTGTGTCGACTACAGACGCCTCAATGACCGTACAGTGACCGATGCTTGCCCAATGCCCTGAGTGGGTGAGCTATTAGATCGCATTGCCAGGGGATGCTATCTGACCACTATCGATCTGTGCAAGGGATACTGGCAGATCCCCCCCCCTGGCCAAGGAGGCTATCCCCAAGTCGGCATTCGTCACCCCATTTGACCTGTACCAATTTAGAGTCATGCCATTTGGGATGAAGAATACCCCAGCCACGTTCCAACCCTTGGTGGATAGGCTCCTTGATGGCTTTCAGGATTTTTTTTTTTGCTTGTGCGTACCTGGATGACATTGCGATCTATAGTGAGACATGGGGAGAGCATTTGAAGCATGTAGAGGCTACTGGACTAGATTCAGGCAGCAGGCCTGACTCTGAAACCAGAAAAGTGCCACTTGGGCATGGCCGAAGTCCAGTACTTGGGACACCAGGTAGGGTGTAGGAAGCAGCGTCCCGAGCCGGCCAAAGTCGAGGCCGTGGCCAACTGGCCCACACCCCACACCAAAACCCAGGTACTGGCTTTCCTAGGGAGAGCTGGGTATTACAGGAAATTCGTCCCTGACTATAGCACCATTGCTATGTCCCTGACAGACTTAACTAAAAAGAACCTCCCAAGAGTAGTCCTGTGGTCTCCCTCATGTGAAGCAGCCTTCCAAGCCTTAAAGAAAGCTCTAATCAACGCTCCTGTACTATCTGCCCCCGTCCCTAACAAACGATTTGTCGTCCATACAGATCCTTCCATGTACGGACCTGGGGCAGTTCTAAGCCAGATCGGGGAAGATGGAGGAGAACACCCTGTCGCGTACCTTAGCAGAAAATTGTTACCCAAGGAGGTGAGCTACGCGGCAGTGGAGAAAGATTGCCTAGCCCTGGTCTGGGCTGTAAAGAAACTCATATACAAACACAAAGATAAAGCACCGCGCTTACAGCAGCAGTGGCTTAGTATCCAACAGCTTAAAATACATAGTAAAAACAAAGAAAACGTTACCTGCGCTCTGGCCTAAATCCCCATGTGCATTTAAACAAAAATGGAGGCTCTTTAGTTTTATTCTAATGGCTATTTGAATACATAAGCTCACCAGCCACGTCAAGGCAAGCCTCAATAGGTGAGTTCCTACACTAGCCATTAGATATGCTGATATCAGCCAAGAGTCTCCAGTGAGACAGGAAGGCCATTAGAATAAAACTAAAGAGCCTCCATTTTTGTTTAAATGCACATGGGGATTTAGGCCAGAGCGCAGGTAACGCTTTCTTTGTTTTTACTATGTAAAGAAACTCACCCCGTATTTATATGGCCACGAATTTACCCGCATTACTGACCACAATCCCCTTGTTTAGTTGAATAGAGTGGCAGGAGACAATGGCCGGTTACTGAGATGGAGCTTGGCCCTTCAACCCTATAACTTTTCCATCCAGTACCGGCCTGGCAAGCTCAACGGTAACGCTGATGGACTGTCCAGGCAAACCAAACTTATGCCCTAGCAGCAGCCTGGACATCCCCAAGTTGACCCAAAAAGGATCAAGCCGGGTCTGCCGGGGTGTTCCACAAAGGGGAGCCGTGTAACAGAACCTACAATATTGCCTGGAGACCTCAACCTTACAGGGTACCCAAAACCCTTTCTTTACCATCATTAACATTGCTTTCTATCACTGAGAACAAAGACTGTTCGTGTATTTGCATTCTCCAAAGTGACTGATCGTGCATTTGGCTCTGACTGTTCAAAACTGAATTTCTTGCTGAACGACCGACCACCCAGAGCAGGAGTGTGCCAGCAATTAACCCTCTTGACCTGTTATAAACCGCAAACACCTCAACGTTCCATTGAATTAACTGGGTGGTCGGCGTTCGTTTATGCGAACACGGGGCAGCGGTCATTTTGTTTAGTTGAACGCACTCAGCGGTGTTTGGTCGTCGACTGCGTGGAACTGTTTTCGGCTACCTTTTTCCACGAACACCGCTGAACTTCTACCTGTGCGTTCGACTGGACTCATACAAACAAGGCTCTAATTCGTGAGTTTGTTCATCCGAACAAACTACATCCATTGATGGCAGGCACGAACGAGTCCGTTCGTGCATTTCAGACTTATTACAGAGGGAGAATATCCACCTTTTCGCTAACTCCCGAACCACTGGTCCGATTCTTGCCATTTTTGGCTATATTGTTCCCCTGAATGTAACTGTTATTATAATGTAACTTTTTATTAAGAGCCGATGCATAATTTTTAAAGTTATAGAAAATGTATAAAATCTCTTTTTTAAGCTTGGAGATAATTGAGCTGATATACCGATTAACTCAATTATCTCCCAAGCCGGAGGGAGGAATTTACTGTAATTAATGGGTGTGCTTTTACTGTACAATGTTAACTGATTGGCTGTTGTATGTCCATTGTGGTGTGTTACGATTGCCTCTGGTCTAGCAGGAGGTTGGATCGCTTAGATGTCCTGGTTCCCGAAGTTGGAGAGTCGACTTCAAACTGTAGAAACCTGTAAGTGTAGAATATCCCACTAGCTATAGTAAAGCTAGGATTCCCGGTTCCCTACAACACGAGTCGAGGCTGCGAGTTAAGGGTAAAACGAACGGCTTCCATCGCTCTCCCTGCTAGCTTCCCCGCCAAGATACAAGGCCATTCCTCGGTGTGGATTTGATGAAGGGCACATTGCCTCTCAAAGTCAGCTAAAAATTTGTCAATTCCCATCTCGCTTTCCACGAACGACTTGAATGCTCCAAACGGAATCTTTCGTTGCCCCGCAAGCTCCGTGTGGTTGCTGGATACAGTTGTGGCAGGACCATGCTGGGCGGTCATTACGCTAAGCTCGTGGGCTCTAGCTCTTTGTACATCCGCCTCTGCCATCAGTTGCTGCACCAGTTCGATCGAAGGGTTCGGCCCATATAGTGGGAGCCTTTCCCTAATAATCCTCATTTTCTCATCGCTGGGCATTACCGTGGTCTCTGCCATGGTGAAGCTCTGATCTAGCTCAGGTAGATCAGCAATCAGCTCTCTTCTCGGACGGTTGCTTGCGTTCCCACCTCGGCTTTCAAGTAAATCCTTTAAGGTGGTGCGCTTTAGCTTATCGTAGGCGTTCTCCATCCATTCTGTACCTCTCCCCAGGATTCCAGGATGATCCCGCCGCTACCACCAATTGTTACGATTGCCTCCGGTCTAGCAGGAGGTTGGATCTCTTGCATGTCCTGGTTCCCAAAGTTGGAGAGTCGAACACGGCTTCAAACGTTAGAAACCTGTAAGTGTAGAATATCCCACTAGCTATAGTAAAGCTAGGATTCCCGGTTCCCTACAACACGAGTCGAGGCTGCGTGTTAAGGGTAAAACGAACTGCTTTAATGGCACACAGGCATCACTATTTATGCAAAACCCCAGGTCCAGGGACAACCCCCTCTGGACCTGATGGGATACAGTGACAATACGAGCAGTTGACCAATAGTAATACAATGTATCCTTTGAAATTGTTACCGCCCAGCTTGGAGATAATGAGTCCAGCTGTTGGGACAATGTAATTATCTCCAAGCGCCCCAATTCCCACGTTTTATTACAACACATAAAACTGTATAAAATTACATAACTTTAATACTTTAACAGACATATTTCCCATTCTACCGTTCATTATGTAGCCCAGTTCTGAGCGCAGCAGATGGATGAATAGCACTCAGAACTCACGAATGATATGGCTAGGTTCCTTGATATAAAGTCCATTCGTGTCTTTTGTCCCGAACACAAGATGGCAGCCAAGTTTTTAAGTTGATAGATGGCCAGCGGGACATGGACCTAAAACCCCTGGAACGAGTAACGGCTGAACAATTACGCGAATCTCGCTGAATTACGCGAATCTCGCTCACAGTCTTACCGAACGGAGACCACCATGAAACGGGGTACTTAACTTGCGGTTAACCGCAGCTTCAACGTTCTAATTGAGAACACACACCAGGATGCGGGTGGGCCTCGTTCGGGAGTCTTTCGTGAGTTCAGTTCGGTGAATTATTACACGAACGAGGCCTCCCGGAGATAGTCAATTATGCTTTTGGTTGACCGCAGACCGCAGCTTCCCGACGGTCAATTAGCGGCACACTCCGCTCGTGGGGGTGGTCGGCTGTTCGGTACTTTCAAAGATGACCGGGGTTAAGTGGCGGCACACGCCAAGGGCTGGGTGGTCCGTCATTCGTATTCACGAATAAAGAGTTATAACTGGTCGGGGAATGTATTTGCACGGTCTGAATACCAAATAGGGTATTGGGAAACAAAAAGAAGTACTTCTGCAACAGTATGTAGGGTTCTTGTAACATGGTGCTCCACAAGGTCCAGTGGGTGGTAACATTCCTGTAAAATCCTGCATAGAAGCAGCTGCTGTGTGGTCATTAAAACAGTTCTACTGCACCCTTCAAAACGTAGCTTCATCTCGTTATTGAAAGGGAACCTGCTCAGCATAATCACTAGCTCTTCCTTTTTTTTTTTTTTTTTTTATATTTCTTTATTTTGTCATTTAAAATTTTTAACATTTGCATGTGAGGTACCCCAAAGGCAATCCTCCAGCACATTGAGACAACCAGATACAGAAATAAATGTTAAAAAAGCAACCAAGATTAAACAAACAAGCAGAAAAGAAAAAAAAACCAAAAAAAAAAACCCATCGATATAACTGCTAATAGGATAAGCTGGCAGTATATTGTAATAAAGGCACTGTCAAAAATTAGGCACCAAATGTTTCCACATAAAGTACAGTGTTTCCATTGAAAACCATCGTACACCCGATGTATATTTCAATCACACTACATTTGACCACTGCCAATCGCTATCAAAAGGAATTAACACCAGAAATTTCCGTGGTATAATTGTCAGAGCTCTACCTTACTCTCTACTTGGATCCAGCGGATGGGATAGCGCAACTCCATTACTGCACAGCATCTTGCCGGGAAGAAGGACGTCTCCAACCGCTGATACCCCCCCTCCCATTGGGGTAGCCGTTACAGGAGGGAAGACCAGAAGTTCTGTTTTGGACAGGTTCAATTTAAAGAAATGAGCAGCCATCCAGGTGGAAACAGCAGAGCGGCATTCAGAGACACTCAAGAGGGGTGGTGAGAAATAAGGGGAGGACAGATACATTTGCCTGTCATCCGCATATAAATAAGCCGAAGGAGCTGATGAGTTTACCGAGGGAGGCAGTGTAGATTGAGAACAATAGGGGACCAAGGACAGACCCTTGGAACATTAACAGAGAGGGATTGGGGAGAAGAGGCAGAACCAGAGAAAGAAAAACACTGAATGAGCACTGGGAGAGGTAGGAAGAGAGGCAGGAGAGAGCTGTAACTCATAGACCGAAATTGAAATTGTGTTTCAAAATGAGCCACTAGGGGTGTAGTTAGTTACTGCGTTCTATATCTATACCTCAGGAAGGTATGTTACAATGTAACAAGACATTTAAGTATTCCATTCGAGTAGAAGAGCTACAATTAGAGGACAAAGGACACCATACGATTTAGATTTATCCAAGATGGCAGCGAATATACAGAGAAGTTAAACCACAGAGTGAGCAGAGGTTAGGTTAGAATAATGATTTATGTTGTTATTATTATTGCCATTTATATAGCGCCAACAGATTCCGTAGCTTGTTATCCCTAATTCACTTCCATTAAGGGTATAAGTTGCTTGTGCATTCTTTATGCCTCAGTGCATAACTTTGCATTTCTATACATTAAATTTCATCTGCTATTTGAGTGCCCAGTCCCCCTTCTAAATCCTTCTGCAGCAAAGTAATATCTTGCTCAAATTGTATTACTTTACAGAGATTTGTGTATCATCTGTAAAAACTGAAACATTTCTTTCAATGCTTTTTTCAAGGTCATTTATAAACATGTTAAATAGAAGAGGTCACAGAACAGAACCCTGAGGGACACCACTTGCCATCTCTGTCCAGCTTGAAAATGTACCATTAATGAAAACTCTCTGTACTCTATTTTTAAGCCAATGTTCTACCCAAGAACAAGCATTTTCATCTAGAACATTTTCTTTGAACAGGTTTTTATTCTAACTTAAAATCCTTACTCAACAGTGGCCATATTTTAAATGTTATCTTACTTCCCCCTTTGTTACAGAAGTATGGATTCCTCATGAATGCATTAACCAGGCCATGGGGTCCAAACTCGTAAGGCCTTACAGTTGATAGAAAATGTTTTATTCTTCATTTTAAACACCAAGATTTTTCATTTATTTTTTCTGTAGAAAAGTATTGTCTTTGAGGTTTTGTAAACTGTGTGGAATCATATTGGGTTTCTGGACCATATCATAAAGCTGATGTTTAAATTCACCTATTTCAGCATAGTTTATAATTGCATTTACTGATTTCTTCATAATGGGGTGCTGAAGAATTTTGTATTTGTCTTCTCTTTTAGGTTCTCTCTGCAGTGTATGCTGCATTGATACAGCACCATGTTTATTTAGAGGGAACGCTCCTAAAACCAAACATGGTCACCGGTGGACAATCGTGTTCTGAAAAATTTACTCCAGAGCAAGTTGCCATGGCTACAGTTACCGCCTTAAGACGAACTGTCCCTGCTGCTGTACCCGGTAACCTTTTTGCTTGAATTCTCTCTGTCAGTGACTTGCTGTTCTGCACCATCTGATGGAATAAGCCAGTATTGCATTTTATATTAAAGGGTCACCCCAGACCACTAAACAACTTTAGTTATGTGTGAAGAATGTGTGCTGTTTTTGTTGTTGTTTTGTTTTCAATAGAAATTGTCACATTTATAAATTACCTTGGCTTTTAAGCAGACAAGCAGATCATTTACACGCAATGAAAAAAATGCATAATTAAATTTAATAATTAAACTATTCATTTTGGGTATATCTACTAAATATTGTTTTATATTTTGTATTTGGGTAGTGGAGTGTACCTTTAAGAGCATTTTATTTAAAAATTACACAAGTATTACAGCCTATATTGGTATTGTCTGTCAGTGTATTAGAGCTCCCTTTTTAACCTACATTTCATCAATGTTCATGAGCTGATACTAGTTTAACACGTGGCAAATGTTTCTGTAAGAGTTGTTTATAATTAAGCTTTAGAATCTCACTCTTCATCACATGGCTGAGATAATCATGTTAATCCTTCAATGTAAAGTTTGCCGTTCTTGAAGAACTGCAGTGATTTCAGTTTCAGGGTTACAATGACACGGAGGTGGCACCTAGAGCACTTTGAGATGAAGTAGTCTGGATGTCTGTGTGTCTCTTTTAAACTCTAAACTACAAAAAAACACCTAATCTTAAATTTAAGTGGCTTTGTCACCTTACCTAAGTCAATCCTTTATTTCTATTTTTACTAGGTCTGCCTAAACTTGAAAAAAGGTGTGTTGTTGGTTGATTTATTTATTTTCTTTTGGTCAAGTTTTTATAATTCCCCCTGTCGTCACTTGTGATTGCAGTGGGGAAAATGCCTTGTCTATAGAGGCTCTCGTGGTATCCTCCATAAACATCAGTGTTGTACTCTCGTGATTGCACAAAAGTACAGTACTGATGCAGGCTCCTGGCAAATGAAACACTAGGAGCTGAAGCCGACCCATTGATTGCTGATGGCGGCAGCCGCGAGGGATGGCTTAAGGTAAGTAAAACTTACTTTTCCCCTAAACCTCAGTGCCATGCTGCAAATGGCGATGTCAGCATTGAGGTCTTTTCAAAACATGCAAAGTACACAAAGCCACTTTAATGTGCCTTTCAGTCCAGAAAAAAAAAAAAAACTTTTATTGTTAGAGACACTTTAAAGAACTGTTAAAGTAGGTCTTAGGCATTATATAAACAGTCACATGTGGGTATGAGTAAATAACTTGTCTAAGTGTAGAACAATTGGCATGGGAAATAGCATATTCCAGTTTTTAAATCTTCCCCAAGAATTGTTCCATAATCAGAACCTCCATGGTGTCTCATATGTTAGACCAAGACACTAACAATTTTACATACAGGAGGTTGTGGTGAGGTTACCACTGATACTTCTTTTAATATATATATATATATTTTTATATTTTAACAAAAACAACTGTTTTCAAATTATACTGTCGGGTTGGGGTGCAGTGGGACTGTTAATCCCTTTTAATAAATTTAAGCCCCAACGCAGTACCTACGGGTTTGGGGACACAGGAGTGGGACTGGTGTAAAACTGCAAAAATGGTTTGCTGTGACATGGTGTGGGGGATTCATAGCTCCATACCTACTACAGAGGGCCATAGTTGTAGTGCTTAAGGTGCCTATGTAAGTGTGACGAGACCAATCTCGCCACATTGCATTGGAGAAGCCTGGTTACTCGCCTGTTGCATTTGGATTATGGCCCCATGTTAAAAGGCTTTATTTTCCCCTGCAAAGACATGAAAGCCGGGTTATTTGGTGCTTGCCCTGTTTGAGCGGTGATACCCCAGATAGCTATGCCATGGAGCCCATTCGTATAATGAAAGACTATGGGAAAGACTTTGGCTCCATGGCAATTGAACTGTATGTGTGTGCTCTTAGCGCCATTCAGTAATAATGTGTGAAATCTGGGGATATGTTGAATGTACCTGTTTTGTGCAATGGCTGCAAAGTTATGTTTTTATGTGTTTTATTGTCTTTTGCTGCCATGTGTTCAGTGGAGTTTTGCCTCTCTCCTTGGAGATAATTGGATTACTTACCAATTATCTCCAGGATAGAAGACTCTGTGGGACTGGTTTTGGGCAGAAAAGCCATGCTTCCTTTGGTCACAAAAGACTACGATCCATCTTTTGAACCATTGGACCAATTTGACGTATGTTTGTATTTGGATTATGCTGATTCTGAAAATGTAAGTTATATGTGAATGTGATGCATACTTTTCAAGTTATGAATAATGTGGAAAAATTGTATTTCTCTGCTTGTGCTAATTACATTACCCATTGTGTGAGGTAATTGTATCACAGGCAGAGGGGAGGATTTTGTGTGGGAGTGTCTGAGTGTATTGTATGTGTTTATTGGTTGTGTTCCAAAACCCTATGGGTGGTACTAATGTGTACATAAGCACAATAAACCCACAGCTCTGTCTGTTCACTGCTTGACCCTCAACACGGAGCTTTGTCTCGTTCTTGGGGGGATATACTGTATGCTGTTCCAGTTTGACTGCTAGGAGTGTAAACCAATTCGGATGGTTTTTCCTATTCGGCTGTTTACAGCATTCGTATGGTTTCCTGTTCGGCGGATTGGTGTTCTGCAGTAGCTGTGCCTGTGTCTCTGGAAGGGAAGATCTACTAAACGGTGGTTTAACCCTTTTATGCTGAGGGTGCCGTTACAGTAAGCATTAGCTTAAAGTAAAAAACCTTTATTATTTTTATTTTTTAAAACCATGAGGTCCACATTGCTTTGCTATTACTTCTTGTAAGACAGGTCTACATTCTTGTTGACAGATTACATGAATGCTGTTTTTGTTTGTTTTTTCAGGTATTTGTTTCCTCTCAGGAGGTCAAAGTGAAGAAGAGGCCTCTCTAAATTTGAATGCTATGAACCGATGCACCCTTGCCCGTCCTTGGCGTGTATCTTTCTCCTATGGACGAGCTCTACAGGCTTCTGCCCTTTCGGCTTGGCTTGGAAAGCCTGAGAATAAGAAGGCTGCACAGGAAGCTTTCCTTAAAAGAGCACAGGTCAAGTTATTACTTTAACACATATTATATAATATATTTTTTTCCCTGCTTTTTTTCTTATATGAAAAACCAGCTTGTGAAAGTTGCAGACCTCCTGACTGCAGACTTTATACTCCCCTTTTTCTCCAGCACAATCATTCAGTCTGTCAGTGAATACTCCAATTAGAGGCTGTGAGTGTGCATGTAGCTTTTCTTCCTCCCTCCCTCTCTTAACCCCTTAAGACCGGAGGGCGTACAATTACGCCCTATTTTAAGCGGCTCTAAACACCGCCGGGCGTAATTGTACGCCCTCCAGTCTTTCTTTACTTATCGCGGTGGGGGGACGACTCCCAGGGAGCCCCCACCCCCCGCGGTAGATCCTCTTCCTCCGGTGCCCCCCGGCCATGTGAGAGTGAGGTCCTTGCGAGCACAATCACATGGCCGGGGGTAGCTGCCTCCTGCATTGCCAGCAGGGGGGCTGCCTGTAATGACAGGTGGTCCCCCTGCTGGCTGGAAATGAAATTAAAATAAATGAATTAAAAAGTAAAGTGTAAAAAAAAAATTTATATAAATATCAAATTACACGTAGACTGTTACTGATTAAATATATATATAATTATTGTTATATATATATATATATATATTTATAATATAAAAAAATTTAATACGTGTGTGTGTGTGTGTGTGTATATATATATATATATATATATATATATATATATATATATATATATATATATACACACACACACACACACACACACACACACACACACACACATTAATTCTACATATATATTTATGTAATATTTTTACATAATTAGGTATTTTAATTAATTACAATTAGCGGGACCTGCCTGACAACCCATGCCGAAAGTAAAGGGAATTTAATTTGCTAGCACTATATTTAACCCTATAACTTTCCAAGACACCATAAAACCTGTACATGGGGGGTACTGTTCTACTCGGGAGACTTCGCTGAACACAAATATTAGTGTTTCAAAACAGTAAAATGTATTACAACGATGATATCGCTAGTAAAAGTGACGTTTTTTGCATTTTTCATGCACAAACAGCACTTACACGGACGATATTATTGCTGTGATACTTTTTACTGTTTTGAAACACAAATATTTGTGTTCAGCGAAGTCTCCCGAGTACAACAGTGCCCCTCATGTACAGGTTTTATGGTGTTTTCAAAAGTTACAGTGTCAAATATAAGGCATGCGTTTCATTTTTTTCACATTAGAATTCGCCAGATTGGTTACGGTGCCTTTGAGACCCTATGTTAACCCAATAATGAAAATTACTGTAACGGATTACCTGGCACCCCGACTGGGTACCTCCATTGATGGATGCTCCTAGCACTCTAGTCGACACCACAACCACCGCAGGCAGAACCTCTCTTCCTTCAGAGCAAAGCAGGTACAAGCTCTTAAAAGAGCTTAGGAGTGATTATAACAAGGGAATATGCAGAGCATGGCAATCCCTTGTAGCAGATTCCCCCCAATAAGAGACAGAACTCCAAATTGAGGTTGAAGTTGAACTGTCTAAAACTTTATTTTACTTGGTACTAGCCCATATGGTCATTACATTAACATTGCTGTGAAAACTCAATAAAATTACAAACAATCAAATCATAGCAGGCAACATACAGTGACTTATTATAACATATATTATAAATGGGTGGGGAAGACCATAATTAACACAAAATGTCTCTCCTGCATGCAGAATTAGCAATATGCAAATCTACCCGAATATGCAAATTACCAGACTTGCTATTCAGGTAGTTCATATTACTGTTGCTACCAACACAGGGCACTACACAAGCTCCATAGCCAAATCCATCTAGTTGGTAGCAATCCTCAGCAGTACAGGAGAGCAGGCAATACATCCCAGGGGCCATAGTCACATGGCAGGAGGCTTGCAATCAGTCTTCTCCAATGCCCAGTGGCGAGGCTGGTTCCGCCACAATTGCCCCTATGATGGCATGCCATTTGCAATAGTAGACAACCCAAGGTATTGCAAACGGGGTATGTCCAGTCTTCTTTAGTAGCCACTTAGTCACAAACACTGGCCAAAATTGGCGTTTTTTGCATTTTTCACACAAACAAATACTAACGCTAGCTTTGGCCAGTGTTTGTGACCAAATGGCTACTAAAAAAGACTGGACATAGCCAATTTGCAATACTTTGGGTTGTCTACTAGTGCAAATGGTATGCCATGGTGGGTGTAAATTTCATTCCCGGGCTACTATAAAGTCCCAAAGGCAACGTAACCAATCTGGCGAATTTCAATTTCAAATGTAACGTGCTATATTTGACCCTGTAACTTCCCAAAACGCCATAAAACCTGTACATAGGGGGTACTGTTTTACACATGAGACTTTGCTGAATACAAATATGTGTATTTTATTGCAGTAAAAGCAAACAGTATTATGACATTGACAGTTAAAATGTCATGTAGAACTAAAAAATCTTATTTTCTCCCATTTTTTTCATATTAAATTATGTTTCATAGCTAAATATTTGATATTAAATGAAAGCCCTGTTTCCCCTGAATAAAATGATGTATAATAAGGGTGGGTGCATTTACTATGAAAGAGTTGAATTACGGTTGGACAGACATGTAGCGCAAATGCCAGGTTTTGTTTACATTTTGTTTCGTGCACAACGTGTACATTTGGCTCCGTCCTTAAGGGGTTAATTGAGAAGGGAGAATGGAAGCACACAAGCATAGCACACCTGTTGCTTCTGTTAGCGCTGTGGAACTAGCAGAAGAAATCCTCACTTTCTTTCAGAATGACAACCAGGGAAGTGTTTCTGCCTTTAGATATAAAACTGCCAATTATGCCTGTATACTTAATATTCAGCATTTTTCCCTGTTATTATAGTACATTTTTAAGTTGATTTTAAGGCAATTCTCTTCCCCCTAGAACCCTTCAAACATTACCCAGATTGCCGTTGGCTCCACTTCTTCTCCCCCGTTTTGCTGCACCCTTTGGAATGCTTTCTCTGTCTGTAGCATTAACAAATCAGCTTTCATTTGTGACTTCTTTATCTCTAACTCCATCCATCTGATACTTATCTCCCACTCCCCTGACTGTGCTACCCTGCCTCTCTGTCTCATGGCAGCCTGCAACTCTCACTTACTCCCTAACTGACAGGGTCTCAACTTCCGGTACCTTTAAACTTATTCACTCTGTACCTTCACCTTCTTTTGAGGTCATGCGATCCACCTTTTTTACCCTTTCTCACAATGCATTGCGGTAATCTACCGCCAGCCTAGTTTTGTCCTGGGATATGTCTCTGCCTTGCCCCCTCACTTCTGTCCTTATAGCAAGCTGGGAGCAACTTTGGTTGTTCCCAGCTTGTCATTGTTTAAGATATTTTTTTAATAAATGTGCTGATTTTCAGCATGTGTGGGACCTATGAACATTGTTATTATAGTATGGAAGATGTGCTTTAAAAAAAAATAAAAATAAAACAAATAGGGAAAAGATCATATGAGTGTCCTCATAACAAATGTTTACCGCATACTCCTGACACATACTTCAGTTATGTCTCTATACTGGTTTCCCGTTTTGTTTAGGATTCTGTTTTTGTGCTTACATCTCCTCATTAATTGGCAGATGTGCCCAGACTCTTCAATTTACCACTTGGCTGTCACACTCCCACCCCAGACTCTCATCTGCAGGTCGTCTCCAGGGTGGCACTCTCCTTCTCTGCAGTCCTTGGGAAAAATAAAACACTATAAACAGCCTTCTTAATACTTCATCATCTACAACCTTCCTCTGTCTACTGTACTCCCTTCTCCCAAACACCCATCCCTTCCTTGGGTACGATCAAATCACTTGATTCCCTCACTTCACTTTGTGTATTTGTCTCTCATCCCCTTGTATTGTAAGCACATTTACCTAGGGCTTCAATTACTTCACCTCCTTTTCCTGTTTGATATATGAGCTTTGTTAGAATTAAATGTTATGTTTTGTACATCACAATTTGGTATATCTGTATTGAAAACATACTTTTGATGTATTCCTTGAAATGTGCCAGCTCTTTATCTTCTATCAAGGTTCAGTATGTCATATAGGTTCACAGTATCAAAGTCGTGTATTATAACTCGTTTTGTGTGTTTCCCCCAAAATCTTGTTGTACTACAAAGATTTTTGCCTGATTTGTAACCTATAATTTTATTTTTATTCTTGCAGATTAATAGTCAAGCTTCCCTTGGTCAGTACATTCCATCTGGATCTTCAGATTCCGTCTCATCTCACTCTCTTTTCCAGCCCAGTTATAGCTATTAGACAAGAGATCCTGTCCTATGACCAAACCTAAAATGCTCTGTGCAGGGAATCTTTTTTATTATTATTATTAATTTTTTTTTTTTTTTTTATGACTCTCCTATCTCTAGAATCTCTGTAGATATGTTGCAGCAATACAAACATATTGCGTTATACCAAATGGACCAAATCTAACAGGAGCAGTTTGTAAAACAATAGATATATTATACAGGAAAGGTTTGTGCAATTTGTAGCGATTCCCCATCTTAATATCATTTCGAGTTTAAGCAGGATTAGAAGAGCCATCTTGTATCTATGAAAGAAAAAAAATGCAACTTTCTTTGGTTGCTCCCAGCTTGTGATTGATTAAATATATATATCTTTTTTTTATTTTATTTTTTTTTTTTATAAATGTGCTGATTTTCAGCACGTGTAGGACCTGTGAACATTGTTATTATAGTATGGAGGATGTGCTAAAAAATTTTTTAAAAAATGATCATATAAGTGACCTCATAACAAATGTTTACCGTACCTTCTCCTGACACATACTTCAGTTATGTCAAATTAAAATGGTATTTTACTACTATGTAGTTTGTTACATCACCTTCTTTAAGCAACTATTATTTTTGTGGTCTGTCTTTTATTTTTTATTACAGTAATTTGTTTTATGATATCTTGAATGCTCTGATGCTGTCATTCTGTTCAGTGTTCAATATTTTTTTGTGGTTTAATGGCCTCTCTCTCCCTCCCTCTCTCCCTCCCTCTCTCCCTCTCTCCCTCCCTCCCTCCCTCTCTCCCTCCCTCCCTCCACACAGAGGGGCTGTGGAAGAAGACACTGAGACACTCGAAGAGACTGGGGAAGGGTACAGAGACACACAAAGGGGCTGTGAAAAGGGAACACAGACATGTGGAGGGGGCATTGTGTCTCATTTCACAGCCCCTCTGTGTGTCAGAGGGGAGAGGACAATGATACACACAGAGGAGTTAAGGAATAGGTCAATGACACAAAGAGGAGAAGGGGACAGAGAAGGTGAGGGGACAATTACACATAGAGAGGAAGGGGGGAAAGACGTGCAAAGGGGCTGGGGAAAGACACACAGAGGGTCTGGGGAAGGGGAAAATGAGACCCTCAAAGGGGCTGGGGAGCGAAAGATAAACAAATTTGGCAATTTGGGGGGTGGGGGGGCAGCTACAAGTAGCTGGTCTTGGTTAAAGCACAAAATAGTCTAGCATTGGCCCTGTGCATATATAGACTATATTGGACTATTTTTAAGATTGCTTTGGACTATTTTATTTACCCACAGCTACTGTATATTATTGAAAATAGCACTTTGTCATTCCTGTACTTTTGTGGCGCAGCCATTTTTTCTTTGTTGTTCTTGTTGATCTCCTGAAGGGTTTAGATAGATTCCCTTCTTTTGGTTTGCTGTCTTCATTTTGATTATTTAGCGTTAAACCTGCTCCCTTTTTTCTGTATTTTGTGTGTGTGTGTGTGTGTGTGTGTGTGTGTATATATATATATATATATATATATATAATTTATATTATACATACATAATGTATGTGTATATATATCACTGGGTGTAGTGTGGGATGTGTGTAATGTGTGAGGGGTGCAGTGTGTGTAAGGTCTATATTTTGTGTGTGTGTGTGTGTGTGTGTGTGGGGAGGGGGTGGGGGTTTATCCATGGGAAAAAAAATATATTTATTATTTAAAAAGGAAAAAAGCTTTATGCCCCCTCCCCTGGCATGCACTATAGCCTCCTTTGGCTGCAGGCTGACTTCTGTCTTTTCTTTCCATGAGCTGATTGCTATGTCGGAGCATTGCCACGGTAATGCTCCGGCAAGCCTGCTCGTAGGAGGAACACAGACTCCTGGGTCCTTCTTCCTCTTCCCTCTCCTGCAGCCTCCCAGATCCTCTTGCTCTCCCCTAAGGAACTGTCAGGAGGCCAGTGAGGGTGACCTGTTATCTCCCCACTGGCAAGAGAAAGGCAGACAGCAGGTCTGGATCTCTTGTGCCATGGGCATTGTGGTGGGGCACCCATACATGTGGGGACCCTGGGCAAATGCCCTGCGTGCCCAAGCGGAAAGACAGTCATAACACTATACAAGGAACCAAGAGGCAAAGACACACTGAAAACTTTCCTTAAACACAGAGTGTTACAATCACCATTGCCCTTGAGGTCAGTCTGCACTGGTCAAAGTGCCTGTGGCTGCCGCACCCCAGTCAGCATCCTCTGAATCTCAATTCACGGCCAGGGAATTCCATTTTCCAGCAATGATTGGTCCGGCATTCCAAGATGCAGCCGCCGCTGCATGATGAGACTGATACGTAGGTTAGAGGTTGGAAGAAGTGTGACTAAAGGCCGGAGCCAGCACAATGTTGCATCCAAGATGGGGCTCAGTCCCACAGTCAGTGCATTGACCTCAGGTAACCACTTCTACAGATGAGACCAGGTTATGTGATTGAGCCACTAGTTTATATGCAGAGCACATCTTTCATTCAGTGCTTGGTTGTTTTGTTGCCATCCTCAGAACTCCTAGTGTTTGTATTTCCTGTCCTTGCTGGTTTCCTGACTTTGTCTACTCTCTGAATTTGTCTGCTAACGATTTTGCTTTGCTTAAAGGAGCACCATAGAGCCAGGAAAACATACTTGTTTTCCTGGCACTATAGTGCCCTGAGGGTGCCCCCACCCTCAGGGTCCCCCTCCCGCCGGGCTGGATGGCGAGGAAAGGGGTTAAACTTAGCTTTACTCCAGCGCCGGGTTGGGAGCTCTCCGCCTCCGATCCTCCTCTTCGGCTGAATGCGCATGCGCGGCAAGAGCTGTGTGCGTATTCAGACGGTCTCATAGGAAAGCATTTACAATGCTTTCCTATGGACGCTTGCGTGTTCTCACTGTGATTTTCACAGTGAGAAGCACGCAAACGCCTCTAGCGGCTGTCAATGAGACAGCCACTAGAGGATTTGGAGGCTGGATTAACCCATTTATAAACATAGCAGTTTTCTCTGAAACTGCTATGTTTATAAAAAAAAGGGGTTAATCCTAGAGGGACCTGGCACCCAGACCACTTCATTAAGCTGAAGTGGTCTGGGTGCCTAAAGTGGTCCTTTAATTAATTAATTTAATATAAATATATATATATGTCTATTACTGTTTAGAGGTATTAGTATTGTATTGGTCAAACCAGCTCACATATCTGTATGGATCATTTTGACTCCCACGCTTTCAGGGGTTTTCCACATTTCAGTCAAATTGGTTCAGCCTACAATTACAGGCCTCATTTTTGTGTTTTAAACTTCGACACAACATATACATAAGGATACAGTTTCCTTTTCCAAATCATGAATTCTCGGGTTGAATCACACATACTGATGCAACCAATCATACGTCTTTTACATTACAGTAATATTATATACAACTTTATATCACTTCAAAGAATTGTTTTCATCCCTGCCCCTTTGTTGTTGTCAATTATATATCAGCATAACGCATTTACATATAGGCCACGGCTAGTGGCTAGTCTCCTCGCGTGTCACATAAAGAGGGCCTCCTCTGTCACTCCCTTTCCCTGTTTTTCTGTGTTACAGTCACTGAGAGGCCTACAATCCTGCCACTATGACGAGTGGCCTCAAATCCCTTTGCGCCAACGCATAGAGCCTCTCAAGCCACTTGGCAACTAGTAGGGCCTCACCTGTCACCAAACAAGCGTAATGTTTCGCCATCCGGCTCAGCTAGCCTGCTAGTACGATCTTGGTGGTTTTCATACACTAATTAATTGTTTTATTTTAGTATGTCTCAGGAAGGGGTAGAGTATTTCTCCCTGCCTAGCACGCCGGCTAGAGCTATCACTCCTACACAAGGAGGAGAGGTAACTAGTCCAGCATCGATCAGATCCTGGACGATCCCTCGTATAACTACGGAATTGAGGAGATGGCAAATACCCTACCCCGCTACAGCAAGGAAAGCAGAACTTTTCAAACTGCTACGTACTTCAACTAACAACATGGATGCCGGGAAAGGACCTAGCCAATCCAACCCAGGAGACCTACATTCCACGTACTCTAAGCCTTATCTAACGTCCATAAATATTTCAGTATTTACAGCATTTCTGTCACATCACACGTCTAAACACTTGGTAGACTTTCTTATCTCTGGTTTAACAGAAGGCTTCCCTACACATAACGTCCGGGATTCTGGAATGCCCTAATCTACAATCAGCACAACACAACCACACAGCTGTTGACACTCTCATAGACCAAGAAGTTGCTGAGGGTTTCTTATTGGGGCCTTTCAAGGCTCCTTCGTTCAAAGAATGGCGCACTAACCCCATTGGTATTGTCACAGGGAAATCTTCCCTTAAACAGAGACTCATCATTGACCTATCTGCACCACACTCATCGGCTAACCCCAGTCTTAATTCCCTCATACCCTCCGAAGAATTCTCCCTACAATACACCACCATAGATCACGCCATTACAACTATCATACAAGCAGGGGTCGGAGCATGGCTTAGTAAGACCGATATTACTAATGCCTTTAAATTGCTGCCAATCCACCCCACACTGTGGCACCTGCATGGCATCAAGTGGTCCGTTGTTTCTCCCGTTTAACTTTTGGGTCCAAAAGTAGCCCAGCTATTTTCGATACATTTTCCAAAGCATTGTGCTGGTTACTATTGAACATAGCCAGATGCCCTACTGTATTACACTACCTGGATGATTTCTTACTGGTCGAGGAGAATTCTTCCCCTCCCAGTAGCCTCAAAGCTACCACCAAGCTATTCGAGCAGCTAGGTGTCCCAATCTCCCCTAAGAAAACGGAGGGGCCAGACACGATTATTACATTCCTGGGTATTCAATTAGACTCAACCACAATGCAAGCAAGCCTGCCACACGACAAGATAGAGAACATTCTTACTTACCTTCAGCTCGGTACTTGCAACCGCATAGAACTACAGTCCCTGCTGGGTTCACTAAATTTTGCCATGCGTATTATACCTCAAGGCCGCTCCTTCATATCACGACTGTCAGGTATAGCCTGACATGCATTTCGCCGTAGGAACCCACTTCCGGGTTCACGGAGCTTAGCCCCGCCCCTTTTTTCTGACGCGGTCCTTACACGCTACTTAGGAAGACCGCGCCAGATTCAAAGGGCTGGATTATTGCACAGGTGCCTGAAAACTTATCAGCTGCACTACCTTGATCCTGCCTGTATCGAGTATCGTTCTGGGACGGCTACTACCTTCTCCACTCCTTGATCTCGGCTTGCAAAACGGACTTCTACCTTCTCCACTCCTTGATCTGGGCTTGCTAAACGGACTTCTACCCCTCTCCACTTCCACTGGATGTAGTTAACCCCTACAGTTCCAGAACTGCCTCTTAAGTAATTGTTTCTACAATCAAGCTACTCTCTGTTACTAATAATAGACTGTATCTGAAGGCTCATTACTGTGGCAATCTCTCAAGTTATTCTCTCTTATACATAAGGAACTGCTTTTAAGGCTAAATTCTTCCTCCAATAATCAATTTATTCCTAGCTGCAATTCTGTATTTCCTCATTAATAATCTTGCTTGCAATTATTCCATCTGAATTAAGCTAAAACTAACTCTGCATATTTTTCTGCATTATTCCTAAATTGGAACTATTTGGCTTGTGCAGATCTTCATTGGCTTATTCTTTACTCACAATTAACATCCTGCTTGAGTATTTAAAGCTACAGTAACCTCTCCTCCACATCAGTATAACAGGAGGTGAAACTAATAGTTACTGCAATTAGAAAATTCTGCAGTTGAGTTCCAATTAAAATAAGTATTACAACGACTCCTGTATCTTTTTCCACTCTTCCTACACGACACACACAGGTTGTCCTTAGATACTCAAACTACGGCAGACTTACGCATGTGGAAGAAATTTTTAACCACTTGGAATGGTAAAAGTATGTTCCTCCCTCACTTGACTGACTCATCGCCTACCATTTGGTCAGATGCGGCATCTACCACAGGTTTTGCAGCAATTTTTGGGAACGAATGGCTTTGGGGCAGCTGGCCTACAGCAGTTCAGGATTTGGAAGGTATTTCCACTACCTCAGCTCTCTTTGAGATATATCCCATCGTGGCGGCTGTCGTAGCATGGGGTCATTTATGGGCAAACATGCCAGTACGTTGCTACTCAGATAACCAGGCAGCCTGTCACATCATCAACAAAGGTCGTTCCAAATCCCTTACGATCATGAGATTTCTGAGGAAACTCACTTGGTTGGCGGCCTGTCACAATTTCTTTCTGTATTGTTTTCATGTTCCAGGTATATGTAACACAGCTGTTTTCAGGCATTTCATCAAGCACTCCTCATCAGCTGCGCCCACAGCCACCACTACTCCAACATTTCAACAACTAATACTGGACTAGACACTATCATGCATCATAGCAGGGCACTGTCCCAATTGGCACTGTCAAAAAATACACACAAAACATACAACAGGGCTTTTGCATTATTCAAAAGATTCCTTTCGGAACATAACATCATACAACCTTTTGTCATGACATCTTTTTTGGGTTTTGCTTCTTTTTGCCACCTTAAACTTAAAATGTCATACAACACCATTAAACTTTATCTCACAGGCATTCAACACCATATGCTAATTGTAACGGATCACCTGGCACCCCGACTGGGTACCTCCGTTGATGGATGCTCCTAGCGCTTCTTGAGGGCTCCAAGCACTCTAGTCAACACCACAACCACCGCAGGCAGAACCTCTCTTCCTTCCGAGCAAAGCAGGAACAAGCTCTTAAAAGAGCTTAGGAGTGATTAAAGCAAGGGAATATGCAGAGCATAGCAATCCCTTGTAGCAGATTCCCCCCAATAAGAGACAGAACTCCAAATTGAGGGTGAAGTTGAACTGTCTAAAACTTTATTTTACTTGGGACTAGCCCATATGGTCATTACATTAACATTGCTGTGAAAACTCAATAAAATTACACACAATCAAATCATAGCAGGCAACATACAGTGACTTATTATAACATATATTATAAATGGGTGGGGAAGACCATAATTAACACAAAATGTCTCTCCTGCATGCAGAATTAGCAATATGCAAATCTACCCGAATATGCAAATTACCAGTCTTGCTATTCAGGTAGTTCATATTACTGTTGCTACCAACAAAGGGCACTACACAAGCTCCATAGCCAAATCCATCTAGTTGGTAGCAATCCTCAGCAGTACAGGAGAACAGGTAATACATCCCAGGGGCCATAGTCACATGGCAGGAGGCTGGCAATCAGTCTTCTCCAATGCCCAATGGCGAGGCTGGTTCCGCCACACTAATCTTACAACCAAACAACACAAATTTCATGGCTTCTCACCAGATTAAGACTATCCTCAGAGGCAATCAGAGATCTGAACTCACGCCTACATCACAGAGTCTACCCATAAACAACCATATCTTCAAAGCATTGTCTGATCTGCTTGATTTAAAACCTTTTGACACCAACATAAATTCTTTCATCAAGGCAGCAATATACATAGCTTTCTATGGATTCCTAAGACCTAGAGAATTCACTACAACCAACGTGACACAATCTACTCCTATTCTCCTCTATTCCCACTTAACAAAACACATGGATCATTACATCCTGACTCTACCTCACTCCAAAACCAGTCAGCATGCACCAGTAAAAATAACATACTATCCCATGCACAATAGGTGGTGCCCCATCAAGATTATTGATGCATACATACAGCATCATAATTTACTACCATCACAACCATTATTCATATTATATATTACCACTACAACCTTCATGACCTACGTCAGGTCTTTACTCACTCAACTGGGCCTCAACGCCGCTAACTACTCAGGCCACTCCTTCCGCATAGGGGCGGCATCCACAGCCTCCAGTGTCAACATTCCAGTTCATGTTATAAAAACACTGGGGCACTGGAAATTAACCGCTTACTCACGGTAGATACCGAACCCAGTACAATAATTAAGGCATGCTTTCAAAAACATGTCTGGTTGATATATGTATCTGTATTGGTTGTCTGTGATAAATTTAATTACTTAATTCTCTTCTTTCTCAGGCCTACCTCATCATCGGTTCGGGCACACCACAACCGAATTGCTCATTTTAATATCCTACATTTCATTATGGTATTTTACCCTGTACTATCATGAGCACCTAACACAAGTATTAAGGCAATTTGGCCTGTATTTGTGGGAGGTGCTTGGTATCCAATCCTAGCCTACTAAAAGCACACCCCTTACCTTGCTCCTTATCGTTCGAGGTCAGCGTTGAATGACCCTCCCACCACACCACATTTTAACATTATTTCCTTTCTATTTCTTTTCCTTGGTAAGCCCTCTTCTACCTCATCGTCGGTTCCGGCACACCACAACTGGCTTGCTCTTTTTAATATCCTACATTTCATTATGGTATTTTACTCTGTACTATCATGAGCACCTAACACAAATATATAATATATATAATAAATATATAAAATACAAATAATAAATAGATTAAATTAAATAAAAAAAATTAAAAATAATATATATTTTTAAATTATATCTATATGAAATTTTATTCTAACTGATGAAATTGTATATATATCTATGTATATATAAATAAATAAAAATACAAAATATACATATGTACATATACAAAATTACATAAATAATTATTTAAATATACACGTAGACTTCAAATATATAAATATGCATATATATTTAAATTCTACGTGCGTATTTATGTAATATTTTTACGTAATTAAGTAATTGCAATTTGAGGAACCTGCCTGCCAACCCAGGGCGAAAGTCCAGAGAATTTAATTTGCTAGAACTGTATTTTACCCTGTAACTTTCTATGACACCCTAAAACCTGTACATGGGGGGTACCGTTTTACTCGGGAGACTTCGCTGAACACAAATATTAGTGATTCAAAACAGTAAAACGTATCACAGCGATGATATTGTGAGTGAAAGTGACTTTCTTTGCATTTTTCAAACACAAACAGCACTTTTACTGATGATATAATTGTTGTGATACGTTTTCCTGTTTTGAAACTCTAATATTTGTGTTCAGCAAAGTCTCCTGAGTATAACAGTACCCCCCATGTACAGATTGTATAGTGTTTTTGAAAGTTGCAGGGTCAAATATATGGGTCAAATTTTTACATTGAAAATGGCCAGGTTGGTTACGTTGCCTTTGAGAGCGTATGGTAGCCCAGGAATGAGAATTACCCCCATGATGGCATACCATTTGCAAAAGAAGACAACCCAAGGTATTGCAAATGGGGTATGTCCAGTCTTTTTTAGTAGCCACTTAGTCACAAACACTGGCCAAAATTAGCATTCAATTTAGTTTTTTACTTTTTTCACACACATACAAATATGAACGCTAACTTTGGCCAGTGTTTGCCACTAGGTGGCTACTAAAAAAACTGGACATACCCCATATTGAATACCCTGGGTTGTCTACTTTAAAAAAAATATGTACATGTGGAGTGTTATTCAGAGATGTATGACAGATAATAGTGTTACAATGTCACTATTGATACATTTGAAAAAATGTATGTTTTGAAACCGCAATATCCTACATATACCTATAGCCCTATAACTTGCAAAAAAAAAGCATGTAAAAGCTGGGTATTTTAAAACTCAGGACAAAAATTTGAATCTATTTAGCTGTTTTTTTTATTCGCTTTTGTAGATGAGTAAAAGTTTTTCAAGTAAGTCAAAACACATGTATTTTTTTTTAATTTTTCATTATTTTTTTAAAATGAAATTACATGAGATTATATAAATAATGGTATGTAAAGAAAGCCTTTTTTGTCCTGAAAAAACAATATATCATTTGTATAGGAACAGTAAATGAGAGAGCGGAAAATTACAGCTAAACACAAACACCACAAAAGTGTAAAAAGAGGCCTGGTCACAAATGTACAACATCGCAAAAACAGTCCAGTCTTTAAGGGGTTAAAGGAACAATACCCATGATTGTAAATAGGGACAATGACCTAATCTTATACCTGCATAAATAAATTATTCTCTGTATAAAAATATTTTATTAAATGGCTTCTTTATCTTGAGTTACTAGTTACCTCTCTTATTTTGATTTTATCCTTTATTCCACACTAATAGCCAGAAAAGTGTTATACAGAGAAATTGTTCTAAAAGTGTTTTCTCAGGTTATATGTAACCGATCCATCAATTAGAAGAGGACTTATTACATTATATAAGGGTAATCTTCCCTCTATATTTTTCCCATCTAATGTAATATTTGCATATAGCTGTGGAGAGAGACCCCTTACATTTATACACATTACTAAATATAATAGTCAACATAAAAAAAGAAGAAAATCCATGCACCATAGTAAAAAGTAGAAAGCTTAGGTAGGGAAGCTATAGCTATTCAATCCAAAAAACACGATAGGTCTATATCTAGATTTAACCCCCTAGGTTGCAAAGTTTTTAACGTATTGATCCAATTCGTTTCACGTTGTGCTAGCTTTTTGATTATATTTCCACCTCTCCAACAGGGGCGGACTGAGAGCCTTTGGGGCCCCCGGGCAAAATTAGATCCCAGGCCCTTTGAAGGCCAAATATATGTGCATTAAATAAATGTTAAATATAATTCATAATACGGCATTCCCTTGGATGTGTGTATTGTGAAGACCTGTGTATCAATGCATGTTTGTATTTGAGTCTGTGTGAATGCACTTGTGCATGTCTGGATGACTACATGTGCTTTTTTGTATACAGTGTCTGTGTGAATGCATATGTGACAGGTGACAGAGTGTGTGAGGGAGAAGGTGACAGGTGGAAGAGTGTGGGAGGTTGTGACAGGTGGCAGAGTGAGGGGGTACCTGGTGGCAGAGTGAGGGAGGGAGGGGTTGAGTGGTGGCAGAGTGAGGGGGAGACACAGTGAGTGGGGGTGACTGGTGACAGAGTGAGGGAGTGGGTGACTAGTGACAGAGGGAGGGAGAGGGGTGACTAGTGACAGAGTGAGGGAATGGGTGACTAGTGGCAGAGTGAGGGAGGGAAGAGATGACTAGTGGCAAAGTGAGGGAGGGAAGGGGTGACTAGTGACAGAGTGAGGGGATGACTAGGTGACAGAGTGAGGGGGGGTGACTGTCACTAGTCACCCCATCCCTCTCTCTGTCACTAGTCACTCCCTCCCTAACTCTGTCACTGTGTCACCCGCTCCCTCACTCTGTCACTAGTCACCCCTTTACTCTGTCACTGTGTCACCCCCTCCCTCACTCTGTCACTAGTCACCCCATCCCTCTCTCTGTCACTAGTCACCCATCCCTCTCTCTGTCACTGTGAAGGAAGGAAGGGGTGACTGGTGACAGAGTGAGGGAAGGGATGACTAGTGGCAGAGTGAGGGAAGGAAGGGATGACTGGTGACAGAGTGAGAGAGGGGGTGACTAGTGACAGAGTGAGAGAGGGGGTGACTGTCACTAGTCACCCCATCCCTCTCTCTGTCACTAGTCACTCCCTCCCTAACTCTGTCACTAGTCACCCCCTCTCTCACTCTGTCACTAGTCACCCCCTCTCTCACTCTGTCACTAAGGACAGAGGGGGTGATTAGTGACAGAGTGAGGGAGCAGGTGACACAGTGACAGAGTTAGGAGGGAGTGACTAGTGACAGAGAGAGGGATGGGGTGACTAGTGACAGTCACCCCCTCCCTCACTCTGTCACTAGTCACCCCCTCTCTCACTCTGTCACTCCCTCACTCTGTCACTAGAGTGAGGGGGTGACTAGTGACAGAGTGAGGGAAGGGGTGACTAGTGACAGAGTGAGGGAGGTGGTGACTGTCACTAGTCACCACCTCCCTCACTCTGTCACTAGTCACCACCTCTGTCACTACTCAATCCTTCTGTCACTAGTCACCCCCTTTGTCCCTTACTCTGTCACTAGTCACCCCCTAACTCAATTTGTCACTAGTCATCCCCCTCTCTCACTGTCACCAGTCATCTGCTCACTCTGTCGCCAGTCACCCCTTCCTTCCCTCACTCTGCCACTAGTCACCCCTTCCCTCACTCTGTCACCAGTCATCCCCTCACTCCAGTGACAGAGTGAGGGAGGGTGTGAGTAGTGACAGAGTGAGGGAGGGAATGGGTGACCAGTGACAGAGTGAGGGGGGGTGACTAGTGAGGGAGGGGGTGACTAGTGACAGAGGGAGGGGGTGACTAGTGACAGAGGGAGGGGGTGACTAGTGACAGAGGGAGGGAGATGGTGACTAGTGACAGAGGGAGGGAGATGGTGACTGTCACTAGTCACTCCCTCCCTAACTCTGTCACTAGTCATCCCCTCCCTCAGTCACCAGTCACCCCCTCCCTCTGTCACTGTGTCACCACATCCCTCCCTCTGTCACTAGTCACTCCCTCCCTCACTCTGTCACCAGTCACCCCCTCCCTCACTAGTCACCCACCCATTCCCCCCCTCACTCTGTCACTAGAGTGAGTGGGTGACTAGTGACAGAGAGAGGGAGGGGATGACCAGTGACAGAGGGAGGGGGTGACTAGTGACAGAGTGAGGGAGGGGTGACTAGTGACAAAGTGAGGGAGGGAAGGGGTGACAGAGTGAGTGAGGGAAGGGGTGAAAGTGAGTGAGGTAAGGGGTGACTAGTGACACAGTGGGGGGTGACTAGTGACAGTGAGGGGAGTGACTAGTGACAGTGAGGGGGGGTGACTGGTGACAGTGAGGGTGACGCTGGTGACAGTGGGGGTGACTGGTGGCCCGAGTGACTGTGGTGACGAAGTGACACAGTGGCAGTGGTAGCTGAAAGTGACAGTGAGGGTGACTAGTGACAGTGAGAGTGACTGGTGACAGTGAGGGTGCTTGACTGGTGACAGTGAGGGTGACGCTGGTGACAGTGGGTGGGTGACTAGTGACAGTGGGGGTGAGACTAGTGACAGTGAGGTGACTAGTGACAGTGAGGGGGTGACCAAGTGACAGTGAGGGGTGACTGGTACATTTGACAGTGGGGGTGGACTAGGCACAGTGGTGGGGGGTGACTAGTGACAGTGAGGAGACTAGTATTGACAGTGAGGGTGAGAGACTAGTGACAGTGAAGTGGGGGTGATAGGTGACAGTGGAAGGGGTGACTGTGGTGACAGTGAAGGGTGACGCTAGTGACAGTGGGGTGAGACCCAAGTGACAGTGAGGGGGGTGACTGGCTAGTGACAGTGAGGGGGGGTGACTAGTGACAGTGAGGGGGTGACTAGTGACAGTGAGGGGGGGTGACTAGTGACAGTGGGGGGTGACTAGTGACAGTGGGGGGGTGACTAGTGACAGAGTGAGGGAAGGGGTGACTAGTGAGGTGGGGGTGACTAGTGACAGTGAGGGGTGACTGGTGACAGTGGGTGGGTGACTGAGCGACGGTGGGTGGGTGAGACTAGTGACAGTGGGGGGTGAGACTAGTGACAGTGGGGGGGTGACTAGTGACAGTGGTGGGGTGACTAGTGACAGTGAGGGGTGACTGACAGTGAGGGGGTGACTGGTGACAGTGGGTGGGTGACTGGTGACAGTGGGTGGGTGACTAGTGACAGTGAGGGTGACTAGTGACAGTGAGGTGTGTTGGTGAGGTGAGGGGGTGGTGGCAGGTCAGGGGTGACTAGTGACAGTGAGGGGGGGTGAGACTAGTGACAGTGAGGGGGGTGACTGGTGACAGTGAGGGGGTGGTGACTGGTGACAAGGGGGGGGGAGGGGGTGATTGGTGCCTACCTGTCTCTCTGTTTCCTCTTCTCTGCCAGGCTGCTGCTCCTTCCCCTCCTGGGCTCTGTGTGAGAGGCGTAAACAGGAAGTGATGTCACTTCCTGGCCCCGCCTCTCCCATCACACAGAGCCGCATGGGAGAGGAAGCAGGAGACCTGGCAGAGAGCAGGTGAAGCTGCCAGGTCTCATTTGGGAGGGGGAGGGGGTGGGGGCCCCACGCTGCATCAGGGGCCCCACAACCCATTGATTAAATAGTTTTATTTTATTTTTTTTTGCCGGTCCAGTTGGAGAGATCTCTGATCTCTCCAGCTGGAGCATGGCTGTGCTGCCGGGCCCCTGACTGCCTCGGGCCCTCGGTCCACGACCGAAGTGCCCGAGTGGTCAGTCCGCCCCTGCTCTCCAATAATTCTCTATTTTTTCCAGACTTAAAAAGTAAAAATCTTTCCAACTAAATTTAGTACATGTATTGCAGTGAATGGGGACTATATGTTTGTTCGGTTTCGTTCTAATATTATTTAGTAGTTCTAGGATACGTTCTTTTAGTTTCCTATAGGTTCGACTCACATACTGCTTCCCACAGGGACACTGCCATAGGTGTGCGCAAAGCACCCTGTGCGCACGCCTATGGCAGTGCCCTGTGGGAAGCAGCCTGGGCACACCCTAATCCCCGCAGCATGCACTATGGATTGAAACCGGCAGGGGAGATCTCAGGAACTCCCTTGTCGGCTCATGCAGACTCCATGGGTCGGTGGGGAGATCCCACAGCAACATGGAGGGAGGCAGGAGAGAACCCGGGGAGCTCTAGCCAGCAGCTCAGCCGGGTTCCTCTCGCGAGATCTGAGCGTTGCCGCGGCAATGCTCAGATCTCGCAAGAGTGAACTCTAGTCCCGCAGGCTAGAGTTCACTCTCCACTGGACCACCAGGGATGGCAGCAGCATGGTCCCCCCTCCCTACATAAGGGAGGGGGGATATTTACTAATCTACCCCACCTCCACCCCCACAATCACCTAAACATACAGCACACACACACACAGAGCACACAAACAGCAACCTCACAAACACATGACACCCTCACACAGCACACTAACAGGACCCTAACAAACACCCTCACACAGCACACTACCAGCACCCTCACACACACAAACACCCTCACCCACATAACACACATCACACTAACAGCACCCTCACACTGCACACTTACAGCCTCCGGGAGGCGTGGCGTGCGTGATGACGTATACATACATACATGTGATACTCGAAAAATTAGAATATCGTGCAAAAGTTCATTTATTTCAGTAATGCAACGAAAAAGGGAAAACTTTTATGAGATAGTTGCATTACATGCAAAGCAAGATAGTTCAAGCCGTGATTTGTCATAAGTGTGATGATTATGGCTTACAGCTCATGAAAACCCCAAATCTACAATCTCAGTAAATTAGAATTTTCCATGCAATCAATAAAACAAATAGTGAAAAAAGTGATGTGCTCTCTATCCAATAAAGCAGCTATTCACCAACAAGGAGTTCCTTTTACCTTGTGAACAATAGAACAAAACAAGCTAGTAAATTAGGTGGAACAACAATAAACAAATGAAAAAAAGGCGCTTATAATAGTGATTATAACCTTATTGCATGAATCAGCACCTATAAGTGTATCAGCTCATAACACCCAACAATAAAATCTAAACAAAGAAATAAGTGCGCTAAATATTTCTAAAGTGCAAATTTAACTCACTGTATCAATAAAGTGAGGTAGTGCAGACAATTTATACCACTTTCTCATAAAGTGCAAAATGCAAGTGCTACATCCAAACACTTATACCACTCTTTATAGGTGCAATATGAAAAAATCCTTACTGCCAAAATTGTAAAGTGACCTAGTGCATTAAAAGACCAAATATGGTACACTTACTAGAATCATATGCTTGAAGTAACTCTCAGTTTCAAATAGTATTACATAAAAAAGAAATACAATACAAAGCATAAATAGTGAAATATTACTTTTTAAAAATGATACAGAGTGTATGTAAAAGTTTCACTCACAAGCAGAGAGCAGATAAGCCTGCTCTACTTTTGACAGTTCCAAATGCAGAAAGATCCACTGCAGCCAATAAATTAAAACGGTTTTGTGGCGAATTTAACATCGCCACTTGTGCCTGAAGAAGACTGATTGCCAGCCTCCTGCAATGTGACTATGGCCCCTGGAATGTATTGCCTGCTCTCTTGTACTGCTGAGGATTGCTACCAACTGGGTGGTTTGACTATGGAGCTTGTGTAGTGCCCTCTGTTGGTATCAACAGTAATATGCACTACCTGAATAGCAAGACTGGTAATTTGTATATTCGGGTAGATTTGCATATCGCTAATTCTGCATGCAGGAGAGACATTTTGTGTCTCCGTGAGGCGTGGCATGCGTGATGCCGTCATGTAGCCAATCAGATAACGCGTTTCGCTGAGAGGTCAGCTTCTTCGGATCTGACTCACTCCTGTCATAGCAGTCTTTTTATACCGCCCATCAGGGCGTGATTTATTACACAGTCCTTTCTTTATTGGCTCTTAGAACATATAATAAACATAAAAAAAAACATAAATTTGTTTATCTCTGTATCCTTATTTTGTATGAATAATTTTCAGGTATATCTCTGTGTATATATATTGAATGTAAGTTAGTGTGGTTGTTTAATGTCCATTGTCATATTTAAATATAAAGTGCTATATTATGACAGGACTTTTTTAGTTTTAATTTTAAGAATTGTAGGTGTTGGTATAGCAATATAATATATGGGCATATAGGGCAGCCTATAGAAGTTAATTAATTAAACCATATGAATATTAGCAATGCCGAAAATATCATCCGTTTTTATGTTTATTTTATGTTTATTATATGTTCTAAGAGCCAATAAAGAAAGGACTGTGTAATAAATCACGCCCTGATGGGCGGTATAAAAAGACTGCTATGACAGGAGTGAGTCAGATCTGAAGAAGCCGACTGTAGCGGAGTAGTAGTATTATCCACGGTATCTCCGCTTATAGACAGAATCAAGCAGGCACAAAGCAGGTAAAATCCAGGTAGCATAGTTTTTAGTTCCAGGCGCTCGACGACAAAACACCGCTGGGCTAACAAAAGAAACAAGATGGCCGATCGCCGCGTGGTCGGTATTCGAACAACGGCCACCTAGTAACACTCTTAATTACCGACTGCAACATTGTTGCAATCGGTTAATGGGTGCTACACGACCCCCTGTGTGTTGTCATGCATTCGGTATGTTATTCGTTTCACGAACAGTGTTTAACTCACTGTTCGTGAAACTTCATTATGAATGCTGGGGTTTTCATACCGCCAGCATACGAATGCCCTCATTCGCCTGAAATACAAATAGCATTGATTTTTATGGCTTAGCAACAATACACACATCCTTATACATTGATAGTCTCTGGTGGCTAGTTTTGCCACAATGCTCCCCCAGAACCAAGCCGGCATATACAGTCTGATCCCAACGGATCGGCTTGGGGATGTCCGGAGGAGTACTCACAGATCACTTCTCAAGTTCAGTTTGTCTGGATAACCCGTCGGCGTTGCCATTTAGCTTTCCCAGGCGGTACTGGATCGTAAAGTCAAAAGGCTGCAGCGCCAAACTCCAGCACAACAGCCTGGCATTGTCCCCTGACACCCGGTTCAGCCAGACCAACGGGTTGTGATCTGTGAGTAATGCAAATG